CGGCGGGAACGAGGAGGAGTGAGGAGCGGCGCGCTGCCGTCCCTCGACACAGGGGAGACAGGTAGGAGCAGGCGAGGGTGGGAGGGCAGGAAGGACCCTGGGCAGGCCAGAGACAAGGTACCGGGAGTGCATGGCACGAAGCCGCTGCACAGACGGGTGGCCAAGGCGCTGGTGCCAGAGGACAGTCTCGTGTGCCAAAGAGCGACACGAGCAGGGGGCAGACAGCTGACCTGACGCGGACGCGGACGCAGTCGCAGCAACCTGAGGGGACTTAGTGATCAGTGTGTACAGGTCCAACCCCGGCTGCCGAGTGAAGGTAGCCAAGTGACGGCCCGTACGAGCACACGTGCAGTGTGTCACAGGCTCGTAGGCAGGGGTGAACTGGTGAACACCCCCGTCCTGGAGTGCACATCCTGCCACCAAGTTTGTAGAGAACGAGGGGAGGTGGAGACCTGACAGTGTGCCCGACGGGACCGCAGGGCAGGGAAGGACAGTGGAAGAGGTCGCAATGACCGGACCCCCAGAGGGGTCAGCAAGGGAGACAGCAACTGGCCGAGCAAGCGGCTCAAGGGCAGTGACGTCACGAAAGAAGCAGCGAGAAGCACCTGAGTCCAGTGTGAAGGTGTGCAGTGCGGCAGTCGACGCAGTACCAAGGGGGGGAGACACACGAGCACCTAGAGCAGCAGCCTCACCAAAACCTGGGGTAGTCGACACGCAAGTACCTGGAGCGGCAGACGCACTGGCCCTAATGCCCGGGTCGGGCGGCACACACAAGTACTCAGCACCCTCTACACTACTAGACATCACATACATGGCAGATAGAATAGCATCAAAGTCTAGAGCATAGATATCAATCCCCTTCTTCAGGAGATCAAGCCAGCGGGGCAGCTCAGTGGCCTGAGGGAACTGAACACGCCAAGCGTCGTCGAGACGAGAGAAGCAGCGCTGTGTGGCGTGCGGTCGTCCACACTGCTGACCAGTGCGGTCACCAGTGCGAATGACGTACGTGCAGCTAAGACCACCCCCACCCCCGTGCTGAGAGTACCACTCACGGACCTCCTGGGGCGAGGGAGTGTGCTGCTGGCCCTGGCCACCGCCAGTGCCTCCACGGCCACCACCACCGCTGCCACCTCCTTGACCACCCCAACCCCTGCCGCCGCCTCGTCCACCGCCACCCCAACCGCCGCCTCCACTCCTGCCACCTCCCCCGCCGCTACCGCCACCACCCCCACCGCTACCACTCGCCCCTCCAGCCGAGCCACCACCCCCACTGCCTCCACCGCCCCCATCGCCGCCTCCCCCGCCGTCACCGCCACCACCCTTGCCCCCTTTGCCCTTGCCGCTGCGGCGTCCGCTCGAGGCAGACGCAGCGCCGACCTTCTCAGTACCAAGAAGGTCGACAGCAGCAGCAGAGGCGACAGAGGGAAGAAGGGGGGAAGCAGAACACCCTCAAAGAACGGGGTACGGGGGTCGCCACGAGAGGCACCTACAGCGACTATGCTAGTCTCAGCTGCAAGTAGCTCCTTCTCGAGGAGGGCAATGGTGAGCTCAGTGGGGCAACGAGCTAGGAAGTGGTCCCTGACAGCACGCAGTGTGTCAGGGAGGCGGGTGACTAGGTGGTAGAGAGTGAGCCAGAGTGGAGGGGGGTGCGTGGTAAGGAACTCAGCAGGCATGGCGGCACGGAAGCGGGCCTCACTAGTACGGAGGTGCGTGATGAGGTCAGCGACTGTGTGAAAGGAGGCCAGGTCGGGAAACAGGTAGGGGAGGGAGAGACGGCCTAGTGCGGCAGAGGCAGGTGAGGAGTAGCGAGCAACTACAGCTGTGTACAGTGCCTGTGCAGTCTTGTGCTGACCAAAGTGCTCGCTTTCGTCTATCGGCAAGGAGTTGCGAATGGCGAAGCGAGCGTGGGCATCACGAGTCTGCCACTGTAAGCGAGCAGTGCTGTCAGCAGTAGCAGCAGGGGCAGTGACATGGCCTAGGGCGTGATCGTACAGTGAGATGTCATCCTTGGCTGTGAGCTGTAGGTAGAGGTGCAGGTCATCGAGCCAGGTGTCAAACTTCACAGGGCGGCCCTCAGCATCGAACACGAGAACCTGTGGGCTAGCCATAGGAACAGTAGAAATAGCAGCAATAGCAGTAGGAGAAGCAGGTAGGACGAACCAGGTAGGGCAGGGCGGCGCGGCTCAGTTCAGGTCGGGTCGCGGCTCGGCTGGGTGGCGCGGCTCGGTTCAGGGCGCGCGGCTCGGCTCGGGGCGCGCTGCTCGGCTCGGGGCGCGCGGCTCGGGTCGCGCGGCTCGGGTCACGGCGAGGACAGGCCGCCCGCTCTCCCTCGTGTGCTGCGGCGGGAACGGGCCGCCCGGGGCCTCTAGGTGGTGGGCACGGGTCGGCGAGGTCGGCACGGGGCCGGTTGGGGCCCTAGAGGGGCGAGCGCGGGGCCGATCGGGGCCTGAGCGGGGCTAGCGCGGGGCCAAACGGGGCCTTGACGGGGCTAGCAAGGGGCCGACGGGGCCTGAACGGGGCTGACGGGGCCTGAAACGGGGCTAGCGCGGGCCCGATCGGGGCCTGAATGGGGCTAGCGCGGGGCCGACGGGGCCTGAAACGGGGCTAGCGCGGGCCGACGGGGCCTGAGAGGGGCTAGCGCGGGGCCGACGGGGCCTGAAACAGGGCCAACGGGGCCTGAAACGGGGCTAGCGCGGGCCGACGGGGCCTGAGAGGGGCTAGCGCGGGGCCGACGGGGCCTGAAACGGGGCTAGCGCGGGCCGACGGGGCCTGAGAGGGGCTAGCGCGGGGCCGACGGGGCCTGAACGGGGCTAGCGCGGGGCCTGAACGGGGCCGCTAGGGAGAGCGGGCGTGGGGCCGACGGGGCCTGAACGAGGCTAGCGCGGGGCCGTCAAGAGGGGCCTCTAGGGGCGTGACACGCCGAGGCGCCCTAGGGCACAGGTAGGTAGGTAGGTAGGTAGTTACGTAGAGGTGGGCCCTTAGAAAATTTCGGTCCTAGGAAGGACTTGCTCTATACCATGTTGGAATCACTGAACAGGAATGAATGAACTAGCAGTGAAATGAGTACACGTACCTAACCCTAGAATTGTGTACCCCCTATAGACTAACCCACTGTAGCCTAAACTAACACAACATATATAATGTTTGACAATCGGTCATCGGCACTCGCGAATGAAGAGCGCCCGCTGCACTTCCTGCACATGTGCGGATCCTTCCGCGTTTTGGGGCTGGAAGCGCTCGTTCCGAGCGTTTTTCTTCAGCTGGGTCACGAGGCTGCGCTTGTTTGGGCCTATCACCAAGCCAACAAGGGTGTGGGAGGGTTGCGAGCACCATCGGGCATCGATGCTCGCAAATGAAAAACGCCCGCTGCACTTCCTGCACATGTGCAGATGCTTCCGCGTTTTTGGACTGGAAGCGCTCGTTCCGAGCGCTTTTCTTCCGTTGGGTCACGTGGTTGCGCTTGTCTAGGCGGACCTATTACCAAGCCAGCAAGGGCGTGGGAGGGTTGCGTGCATTATCGGTAATCTGCGCTCGCGAATGAAGAGCGCCCGCTGCACTTTCTGTACATGTGCGGATCCTTCCGCGTTTTGGTGGTGGGTGCGCTCTTTCCGAGCGTTTTTATTTCGCTGGGTCGCGTGGCTGCACTTGTCTAGGCCTGTTACCAAGCCAGCAAGGGCGTGGGAGGGTTGTGAGCATTATCGGTCATCGGCGCTCGTGAACGAAGAGCGCCCACTGCACTTCCTGCACATGTGTGGATCCTTCCGCGTTTTGGGCGTGGAAACGCTTGTTCCGAGCGTTTTTCTTCCGCTTCGTTGCTGCGCTTGTCGGCCTATTACCAAGCCAGCAAGGGCGTGGGAGGGTTTCGAGCATCATCGGTCATCGGCGCTCGCGAATGAAGAGCGCCTGCTGCCTTTTCTGTACATGTGCGGATCCTTCCGCGTTTTGGTGGTGGATGCGCTCTTTCCGAGCGTTTTTTTTTCGCCGGGTCAGATGGCTGCGCTTGTTTGGGCCCATTACCAAGCCAGCCAGGGCGTGGGAGGGTTGCGAGCATTATCGTTATCGACGCTCGCGAACGAAGAGCGCCCGCTGCACTTCCTGCACATGTGTGGATCCTTCCGCGTTTTCGGGGTGGAAGCGCTCGTTTCGAGCGTTTTTCTTCCGCCACGTGGCTGCGCTTGTCGGCTTATTACCAAGCCAGCAAGGGCGTGGGAGGGTTGGGAGCATCATCGGTCATCGGCGCTCGCGAATGAAGAGCGCCCACTGCATTTCCTGCACATGTGTGAATCCTCCCGCTTGCGCTCGTTCCGAGCGTATTTCTTCTGCCGGGTTATGTGGCTGCGCTTGTTTGGGCCCTCTGGTTCATGGAGCATGCCCGAAAGTTGCAATTCAGGATCAGCCTTTTCCACGTCTCCATCTATGTAACTGCTTCATTTGTAAGGTTTTGAGTCCATCTTGAAGGTCATTGAGATGCATTTCATATGAAGGATGCATGGTTTTCATTAAGGGTATGATGTGATCGTTAGAAATTGCTGCCAGCATTGATTTATATCATGCCATGAATGTGGCTTAAAATTAAAGCAGTAGTTTCTAGGAAGTTCTACACTACCTCAACAGCGAAGAAAAAGCAGCAAAAGCAGTCTAAAATAGAAAAAAGCGGTCTGGCACGCTTGCGACCCAACTAATAACTTCAGCGACCAAACATCAGCGTCTCCAGTATGGCCCTCCATACCAGGTTCTCAGAAGCTTCACATGTGCCACCAGCATACCGCAAAATAGGTGACCATGCCTGGGTTCAGTGACTTGCAGCTGAACGGGTGCAGTAAGGAGAGACGGGTGGGTGAGGGAAGCGAGGTCAGAGTCTCCTCCGTCGCTTTCCTCACCCTGCTGTCCGTTTCACAAACCGGAGCCAGCTCATTACACAAGTCGAGTAGTCCACGCCGCTGACCCGTTTCCCCAGAGGACCTGCTGATACAACCGCCGGCTTCCTTGTCTGCAGCACTCTAAAAATTAAGCTTAGCTGGCATCTGGTCAATGCAGTCGTCCCAGGGACCCAGGTTCTTATCCGCTCGCACCGTCCTCAGCGCCTTCCACACGGCGCTGTTGCACTTAAATCCGGATCCGAACGCGATCTGCCACACGCGGTCGCCGCGTCGCACGCGGCCCTTGGCCTCGGTGTACGACAGCTCGTACCACACAGACGACGACGACGTGTTGCCGAAGCGGTACAGCGTCATGCGCGACGGCTCGATGTGCCACGGCGTCAGCTCCAGGTTCTTCTCGAGCTCGTCCAGCACGGCGCGGCCGCCCGCGTGGATGCAGAAGTGCTCGAACGCGAGCTTGAAGTCCGGGATGTACGGCTTGAGCTTCATGCGGAACACCTTGCGCGCGATGAGCACGGCCGCAAACAGCAGCTGCTCCGACAGCGGCAGCACGAGCGGGCCGAGCGTCGTGATGTTGGTCTTGAGCGCCTCGCCTGCGACGGACATGAGATCGCGCGACAGCGACACGCCCACGATCTTCTGGTCGTCCTCCTCCTGGAAGACGCACTGGTAGTGCTTGTCGTTGGCGCCCATGTGCGTGCGCACCAGGTGCTGCAGCTTGTACTTGGCGCGCCAGCTCTCGCTGTTCTTGTTCGTCAGCAGCAGCGCGGCGGCGCCGATGCGGAAGATGCAGTTGGGGATGAGCATGGACTTTTTGTTGCCGAAGTAGAGCTGCTGGGTGGTGTTCTCGGTGGAAACCACCACGGCGTACGAGTTCCCGTGCACCTGAAGCATATCGCGCGCCAGATCCACAGAGATGACTCCAGCGCTGCAGCCCATGCCGCCGAGGTTGAACGACCTGATGTTGCTGCGCATCTTGTACTTGTTGATGATCATGGCGGACAGAGACGGCGTCGGGCAGAAGACGCTGCAGTTCACGATGAGGATATCAATGTCGCGGGGCTTGAGCCTGGTCTTCGCGAACAGCTCGTCCAGCGCACCGAAGATGACCATTTCAGCCTCGTTCCGCGCCTCACCAAGGGACTGATTGAGAGGGAGGTTCACGAACCCAGGAGGCAGACACGTGCGGTCGCCTAGGCCCGCGCGTTCAAGCACCTTGCCCTGGAACTCAAGGCACTTCTCATCGAACCGCCCGATTTTCCTCGCGTGCTCCAGCGCGCCCTTGATGGTCATGGCGAGCGATTCCGGCGGCTTGAAGCACGCGAAGTCGACGAGGTAAACGGGTCGCGAGCGCAGCATTAAATAGACCGTGAGACCGAAGACGGCAAGTGACAGGCACGCGACCACTGGGATCAGATTTAGCTGAACGCTGTCCCAGATGAGATTCAGATCGTCGGAGGTGACGCGGGAAATCTGGAGCGCCACCGATGCGATAATGGGAACGAGAAGCATTGGCAGACCGTGCGTAACCAGGTAGTGGTAACCAAGCTTAACATGACCCATGCTCACGCTCTGGAGAAAATCTGGAAGAACACGGCGAGTTCCGTCTTCTGGCTCCATGTAGGCTTGAGCGGCCGTGGGCATTTCTTCTGCAGGTCTGGGTTCTCCGGTTGCAGAAGCCATGGCGTTGACGGATAGTAATGTCGACTGCAATGCCTGGGCCAGTCCCTGTGCCTCAGGTAACCAACGGATGGCCTAGCCAAGCTGAAACTAAGAGACTCAGCAAGAACGGAAGGGAATGGTGGAGAGGAATACACGAATCTGGGATAGAAGAGATGTGAGAGGAAGGGAAACTCAAGTAGAGAGTTGGGGGGGCCGTGCGACGTGCTGTTGCTGGCGTTCACATGGGGGAAGCAAGAACCAGCGACAACTTGCGACGTGGGGAATTGTCGGGCCTCCGTTGTGCCAGAGCTTCACCATACCAGAATGCTAGGCGGGATCAGCCCCGGACGCGGCTCCTCTCAACGGCATTGGTTCGGCTTGCTTCGGCGCCGGGCGGCTTCTAGGTTGCGGTAGAGGGTGTTTGGCTCGGCGACGTGCGGTTTCGGCGCGAACCACAATTGCGCAAGCAGGGTCCACAGGCGGATGCAAGGAGTAGATATTCGTTGGAGGGAAACTCGAGGTGTATTTTACTCCGCAGCGGATCACAAGTGCTCAAACAAAGGCGCGTAATCGTCTGATTGGTGATGAGGTAGGCTCGACATGAGCTTCTCCATCGAACCGCGTCAGAATAAAAAACCGAACAACCAATCAACCTCTGCTATTTTCAACGAAGGGGCACGAAGAATGACGTCAGCCATTCTCATCCTCGAATCAAAAGGCCAGCGAGGAATACATAACCCGTTACGAGGTATTTCGTTTTTTATCCGAGAAACAGTAATTCTCTGAACCTGACTTATCTCCTTGCATTTTCTCCAACCTTATTTGTACCACTTTTCCTAGCCCCTAATGCTTTTATGTAAAGAAGTTTATATTAAAAAATCATTTATAGACTCGTATTTTTCAAATCTGCTGATTCCTTTCTTGTTGTCCCCTAACGTATGTCCATAAGATTTGACTATGGAAATAACAAAGTGGTGCAGAATCTTCGATTTAGAGTCCCGCGTCGTGATTTGATCAAAAGCCTGCACCATACTGCATTCGTTTGCGGATGTCAGCATTGCGAACCGCGCGGCGCATGTAACCAGGCCGCAAATGTGCCCCGAAGGGAGCTCGCGCTGCGGTTGCTGCAACATCTTGAATCAGCACAGATGTGCGCCCCAGACCAATCCAGCTCAACCGAACTCCACAGCACTACACCCCGCTTCTCAGGAGGATGAACTTCAAGCCATGCCATCACAGTCCCAGGCACTGATCATCGGACAAACACAGGCCTGCAGCAGCTCACAAAGAGACCAGATATCCATTTTTCACGACTTTTCAGGAGTCCCCCGCCTAGGTCAGCAGTTCGGCATAGCGAGGAAACGTAGAACGTTAAGTATTAGGAACTTGTTTTGTTCAGTGGATGGTCTGCTGGAACCATCCACGTGACGTCAACGTAGACCTGCGCCTGCTCATCGTAGCCTGCTTTCGTGAATAATTCCTTACTGCTGATTCTCGACATCCATTTCCGTACGCATTTTTTCATAAGTCGACCCATCGATATGGGAAACAGCGAGAGCAGACCAGCGGACAAGCGATCGCGCGAAAGGGCGAGCGTGGTGTCGGGACGAAGCAGCAACGGATCCGTGGCGCAACTTATTGCGAGGGAGCGATCCGCAACCGTCGGCAGTATGATGTCTTCTCGTCGCAACCCCATGATCGCTGCTGCTGCTGCCGGAAATGTCGAGGTGGGTATATCCACTATCAGCTCCCATTTTAAACGTCTAGGAAATCACGTTGTCTTCATCTTATTATACTCACCCTCGCTCTGCCTTCGTCGCGTTGTTATAGCCCTAGTAACTGTCGTAACCTGACTGATGACCTCCTTTCGCCATTCTTCGCAGCTCGTCGCACGGCTTTTGGCAAGCGGGGTGGACAGAAATGGCTGCTGCTCCACAGGCAAGGTATGTCACTGCGTCGTTCAACCACCATACGCCATATGCACCTCTAGTGAAGCTTCAAACTCTAAATGGGGTGTCAGGACTCCCCGCTCTATAACCTGAACGGCTGGGTTTCTCCGCCTGTCCCTTGCGTGTGTGGGTGCAGACCCCGCTAATGGCGGCGGCGAGAGGAGGACACGTGGCGGTCGTCACGCTGCTGCTGATCAACGACGCCTCGGTACGCCGCCGATTCGTTTTCCCGCCCTTCTTTTTTCGCATCGCCTTGCGCGCATCCAACTTCGCTCCGACGTGCCATCATGTTCAACTCATTCGCCGCTCTTTGAGACACTTGGCGCACGTTATCTTAGCTGGACGTGCTAATCCAGGAGATTCTAGCACCCCGAAATCCCAAAACCGTTTTTTATGATCATTAATCTTTGGAACTCCCCTCCCTCTCCGTCATGCCTCCCCCTCTTGCTCTCTTCCCGGCGGATGCAGGTGCTGCGATTCGACAAGACCAGCGCGCGATCGTGCCTGCACATGGCGGCTCGCGCGGGCAGCGCGGAGTGCGTCGAGGCCGTCTTGGTGGCGGCAAAGGCGTCGCACGAACTGCGCGACTCATGGTGAGAGAATGACGATGATGGCGACGCTGTTGCTCCTGGTGCTGCTACTGCTGCTACTGTTGCTGCTGGCCCCTTCCCTTTTCCGCTGCTCCTTTGCTTCGGACCTCGTTCCAGCTTCCTTTTTCTCGTTTTTTATCTTTCGCGATCACCTCCCGAGAGGGACGGCCCAAGCCGGGCTTCTTGCTCATCGCCCTTCCCGCCCCGTACGTCGCTCGTCGCTCATCCCTCGTCTCTCTTGCTCGTTGCTCATTGCTCGTTGCTCGTCGCTCATCGCTCGGCGCCACCAGGGGCTACCGTCGCTTCGTCAACGCGCGCGACGCCACAGGGTGCACGGCGCTGCATCTAGCAGCAGCAGCGGGTGCGGAGGCCGCGGTGCGCGTGCTGCTGCGGGAGGGCGCGGCGGTCAGCATCACGACGGCGTCGACGGGCCACGCGTGAGTACGGTCGCGTCGAAAATGATATCTATTATAAAGCCGCGGACATGCGGTGAATCTGTACATTTACCTGTAACTTAGAGTGGCAGCAGCAGTGCTAACAGTAGCCGTAGCCCAGCCTTGGCGCTGCAGCAGTTCCCGAATCTGATCTTATCACTTGAATCCCCAACCCTAACCCTGTCCGCGGCAGTCCCGGGAACCACGCGCTGCACATGGCCGCGCGGAGCGGGAGCGTGGGGACGGTGTTGGCGCTGCTGGCGTGGGGCGCGGACAGAACAGCGCTGAACCACTCCAAGCTGACGCCGCACGCCCTGGCGGTGCGCGCGGAGCGGGAGCGCGGGTGGAAGGCGCGCGCGGAAACGGGGAAGAACGCGCTCGCGGAGAAGGGGGTGCGCGCGGAGAGGCGAGGGAGTGGACGCGCGGGCGGGGGGAAGAGCGGCGCCGGTGGTGCCAGCGCCAGCGCCGGCGGCGTCCCCCCACGCTCCGACTTCAAGCGCGTGGTGGCGCTGCTGAACCCTAAGTCCCCCGCGCCCCTGGTGTGGCCCACCCCCTGGGCGCAGCTGCTCGCGCGCGCGCCCCCGCACGTGGTCTGGCTGCTCCGCGCTGCCCTGGCGCAAGCGGGGGGAGAGGAGGCGGAAGAGGCAGGTGAAGTGGGGCAGCGGGAAGAAAAAGGGGAAACGGAAGGGATGAAGGGTAGCGGCGTGAAGAGGAGGGGGGAGGGGGTGTGTGAGCAGTTGCGCGACATTCATGGTGACGGTGGCAGCGGTAGCAGAGGCGGCAGATGCGGTGTGGTTGGTGATGGTGGTGGGGATGTCGTTAGAGAGGGTTGGGTGGAGGGCGGAAGTGGCAGTAGAGGCACGGGCATGGGTGCTAGCACAGGCGGGGAGGTGAGTGAGGAGAGAGGGGCGCATGAAGCGAGGGAGCATGTGGTAGAGCAGGGCGGAGCTGTAGGCATGGCAGAGGTCGGGCATGGTGGGGGGATTGCAGCGGCGAAGATCAGGGATGGGGAGGGGAATGCAGGGCGTGAGAGGGACTGCTGCTGCAGTGGGGATGGGAGGAAGAGAGAGGAGGAGAGGAAGGGAGGGGAGGCTGGGGCGTGTGGGAGGGTTGATAGAGAGTTGGGAGACGGTGTGGGTGTGGAGTCAGCTGTAGGGAGGATGTTTGAATTGGGTCAAACGAGAATGGAGGAAAGACAGGGAGGGCAGGGAGGGGAGGCGGGAGAGGGAGGGGTGAGTGGTGGCCTGAAGCAGGAGGAGTGTGTGGGAGGAGGGGGATTGGATGGGGAGGTGGAAGGAGGAAGCGCAGGGGAGGGGGGAGAAGGCACAGAAACGGGAAGCAGACAGAGCAGAGCAGAGAGGGCACAGCAGCAGGAGGGCATGGTGGGGCAACAGACAGAGCACACAGCAGGGGAGCAGGGGGGGCGCAGTGTGAGCGAGTCGGCAAGGATGTCAACACAGGTGCAGGAAGGAGTGGCAGCACAGGAAATGGAACAGGCCGGAGAGGGAGTTATGGCACGGGAGCAGGTGGGGAGGGTGGAGGAGGGACGGCGGGATGGAGAGCGGGCGGTGGGGGATGGTGGGAGCCGGAGGGGGAGTGGAGGGGAGGCAGACGGCAGCGTGTGCCTCATCTGCTGCGAGCCGTGCCCTCTTGCTCCAGACTACTTGAGCAGCGGTGGTAACAGTGGTAATAGTGGCAGCAGAGGGAACAACAGCAGTGGCAGCAGCAGCAGTGGTGTTTCTTCTCCGTTCAGCATGTGTTCATCTCCTTTGAGTGTGTGTTCCCCTGTTAGTAGGCAGAGCAGCAGCACCACTACTAGCCCCTTCTCCAGCGGACCACTCAGCATGAGTAGTACCGGTAGCAGCAGCAGCAGCAACCTGACCACCCACACTCACTCGTACACCCACTCCCACACTCACTCCCACACTCACTCTTACACTCTCTCCCCTCCGCTCTCGCCCTCCGGCGGCTTCCCCCCGCCTTCGCCTGGTTATTTGCTCGCGCTGCTGCCCTGCTCGCACCGCCTGTGCCCCACGTGTGTGCTCTCCCTGCTGGCTCACACCAAGCCAAACTTGCACGTGGCCCTGCCGCCCAGCCCTGTTTGTCCTTTCTGCCGGTGTGGGATCGAGGGCTTGGATGTGGCACGGTGAGACGGGGGAGGAGGGGATGGAGAGGTTGGAGGGAGATGGGGAGTGGGGAGGAATGGAGATTGGGCAGGGAGTTGGAATGACGGGAGGGGGAACAAAGGGAAGGAGAGATGGACGGAGGGCGGACGGAAGCAAAGGAGTGGAGATGGTGGGTGGGTGGGGAGTCAAGGGTTGCAGTGGGTTGTTGGAGTGGCAAAGAAGATACCATTGCATGCAGCTGGATGGATTGTGGAGGCTGATCAGGATTCAGGAGCATGGGAAAGCCAGGTGAGAGGTAGGGGCCTAACCTTGTAACTTGGTGCAAGCGGAGTTATACGGTAAATGCATGACGGCTTAGGAATAGGGTGTACACATGTTGTCGGGAATAAGATGAGCAATTGGGATAGTCAGTCCCATACCATCTGCATGTATGTATACACTGTAAGAGTGTATGTGCTCCAATATTCATGACTTCAGCATGTATAGCAACCTGATCCCTAGACGATTTCACTACTCAACATGATTTTAACAACGCGCAGCAGGCGCTGGGCCTGAAGTGTGAAAGAGAGACACGGAACGGATCAAGCACTCTGTCATTCCTTAACTCCAAGAAACGTCCCTTCCTCTCTTGCCATCCCCTCGGTCTGATAATACCAGTTGTATCTGCACATGTCATTGTCCGGATCGTAGAACCACAGCCCGCCCTTGCGCAGGCGAGCGAGCTTGTTCTCCTTCCCCCGCACCCAGTTGTTGTGCAGTGTGGCGCACTTGTGCTTGCGGCACTCGAGAGCCGGCCACTTGCGGAACCACACGCGGTGGGACAGCCCGTTGGGATGCAGCCAGCGATCCATAAAGTGGACTCTCAGCCCGTTCCCCGGCCACACGCACTCGTCCTCGCCCTCCGTGTTCTCCCCTTTCGGCCCGCAGAGCACATGGTAGAAACTCGGCTGTTCGGAGGTTTTTGTCGTTGCAGCATGTGCGACAATTGCCTCGAAGGCCTGGATGACCATGGGCTCGGCGCGAGCAAAGTAGAACCCTGAGTTGATGAACCCGTGCGGGGAGGTGATCCCCTGCCCGTTGGGGGGTTCCTTGTCATATCCCGCATCGCTCTGTACGGGAAGAACCCCGGAGCCAAATTCCAGGAGTTCTGGCAGCGGGTCGCGGAACCAGACGATATCCACGTCGGACCACAGCACGTGGATACCGCGTTTGAGAACCTGGAGGACAGCCTTGGACTTGACTTTTGTGATGCGCTGGAAGCACTTGGTGCCGTACGTGCAGGAGGGGTCGCGGCCGGCGGGGCCTGTGTCGGCACGGAAGACAGGGAGGCCGTGGAGGGACGCGAAGCGGAACATGTCGTCGTCGAATGCGGCGATGAGCGGGAGCGGGAGGAGCAGGCGGCGCAGGTTGCAGACAAAGGACATGAGCATGGAGGCGTAGGAGCCGGTGGCTGCGACCAGGATGACTATGTTACGATGGTCCACGGCTAGAGGGAGCAGCTCGTCGAGACCTCTGCGCTGTAACTCCGCCCCGCTGCTGGTCGTGGGATCAGTGCCGCCGCTGCTGCTACTGCTGCTGGTGGTGCTGTCTAAGGCCGTGTTGCTGTCGATGAGGCTTTGGTGGGTGGCAGGGTTGTGATCTGGGGGGAGGTAGCCGGACGAGTGCACGTGCAGGAGCCCCCCTGACCCCCCAAACCCGCTGCCGGCTGCTGTTGACGCCATGCCGCACAGCCACTGGGCGGACGGTTGTTCAAGGGATAGGGAGGAGGAGGCGGAGGCGGAGGAGGCGAAGACGGAGGTGAGGACTGAGGAAAAGGAGGAGAAGGAGGAGGAGGAGGAGGAGAGGGTGTTGGGGTTGGTGGTGGAAGTGAGGCCGGTGGTGGCGCCCTGCTGGCAGCAGGCGGAGGGAGAGAAGCACACTGGTAGAGGGGAGAGAGGGAGAGAGGTTAGAGGGTGGAAGGGAGAGGGGAGAAGAGAAACGGGAGAGGAGAGGGGATGGGAGGGGTGTGGGAAGGAGGGGATAACGTGAGTGAGGTGAGTGGGTAGTGTGAGCGATGGAACTAAGCCTTGACTGTATTCCTAGTGAAATGAGTGTGTCAGAGAAGGGACAGGAGCAGGACGAGTGTGTGTGGGAGCAGGAGAAACAGAAAAGCAGGTGTCATTCTTTCTACCTTGACTGCTGTCAGATTGCCTCCCATCGCACCGCACGACCACCCACGCGGAATCACACACTCCTGCACTACCACCGCCAACAACACCACCAGCACCACCGCCAACACCACCAGCATCACCACCACCAGCGCCACCCATTCTCTCCGCGCCTCCCGCTCCCCCTGCCGCGCCCTCTCCGCCCTGCTTCCACTGCTGCACTAGCTCCCAATTCACCACCACCTGCTTGTGTGGATTCCGCCTCCTCCCCTCCTGCTGCTCCTCGCAGTCCCCCTGCCCGCGCCCAAACGGGCAGCTCCAAATTCTCAGCGCGGGCAGCAGCGCGCCAGCCTCTTCAAGACTTTCCTGATGCGCCACTGCCTCCTCTACCACTGTTCCTCTCCACGTTCTCCGAACTATTTTCTTCTCTGCCCGTACTCGGGCCTTTATTTGAGGAATTAGGGTCTGGGCAGCCACAGAAATTCCCCATTTGCGCAACTCCTCCGCTAAAACCTCAAACCCCGCTTCACCCCGATCGCCCTTCCCGCTACCGGCCCCCGCGGCCTCGATCTGAGCGGAATCGGCAGCGGCAGGGGAAGCGCTCGAAAGTATATCTGGGGGGATTAAAGCCCGCGCGGATATGCACGCGAAGGCGCTGCCGTCCGCATCCGCCAGCAATTGCCGCCCTGCCGTCCCGCCGCTCCCCGTATCTGCGCCCCCAGAGGCGGCGGCGGTGGCGGCGCGGAGAGCTGCGCGCGCGAGCCAGACGTCGTGGAATCCGCGGTCGTAGGCGAATGGCGGAACAAAACACGCGCGCGCATCAGCGGCGGCGGCAGAAAGGGTGCTGTTGGGCGGTGCGAGAGACGCACAGAGCGGCGCGGGCGAGATGTTCCACAGCCACACCCCCACTTTAGACCGCGAACTAATATCCCCCATGCGCCGCGCAGCCTCCCCCAGCTTCGCCGCATCCACCGCTATCGACGTGTCCATGCGCTGCTCCGCTTCTTCGCTTCCGCCCACTTGCGCAACCGCCGCCGCGGCCGCCGCAGAAACCGCCTCAGCATCCCCCCGGCGCTGTCGCTCCGGCGCTAGCAGCAAGAAGTTGCCAAAGCGCGCTTCAGCGGCAATTGCGGAGGTAAAGATGCTTGGCGAGAGGAGCACAGACGGGCGGACGATAGCGACGAAGCGCGTGGGAGCCGCCATGGCTCGAGCGAGCATGGAGTTAAAGAGCGGCTGACCGTATAGATCGGCGTCCACGTAAGGATCCGCTAACACGTGGCCCGCAAAAAGCGGGTCGGTTTCCGCGTCTTTAAACGACGGGTGGTTGCCTAGGAGGTAGATCACAGGGGCGGGTTCGATGCAAAGCCAGGAGATTATCGCGAGCCGTTGGATCGTGCCTGCTGGTCCATCGAACGGTCGTGGCGCAGTGAAGATCGTTAGCTCCGCGGGGCGATCTCCGCCCTCTCGGCCCCCTCCCCCTCCGCCCCTCGCCCTTCCGAGCAATCGGCGGCGTGCGCCCGCGTCGACTGCGCCAAAAAATTGTTGGTCAGGTGTCGCTTGTCTACGGCCATTGTCAGCGTGAATTCCGATACGGGTCCCGGTGCTAATTCTAGCGCCTTCAGGTGAAAGCTCCGATTTCAACGCAGAGTCGAAGTCGTGGGAGGGGAGAGCCGAGTTGGAGAGGACGGAGGGACGCGCATCGGGTTCGTCGCTTGTCGATACGGCGGCTGACGCGGAGATTGGAGAGCGGGGAGAGCGGGCGACAAGACCATGCGAAGGATTCAATGCGCATAAGAGGAGGAAAGCGAGCGATAACGTTGCCATGCATTTCATTCTGCTACGCCCCGCACATGTCGAAAGCGCGAGCCGACGGCATGCGGCCATGTCAGATAACGGTACCTGCGCCACTCGCCAAATGAGCGATTTATTATGAAGACGCCATGGCTGATAGTGATCGCGTACTCATCATATGTATTCCTGTCCCTGATACCTAGAGTGAGCGACTGACAACTGTTGCCACCACAGGGCTGCGAAACGAGCGAGGGGAGCAAAATCCGAGAGGCGCAGATACTACCTAGGTGCCTATGGTTCCAGAGGCAAGTGTTGGAACGAGTAACGACTGACGAGCCCCAGTGGGAATGGTAGGTGGGGGTGATGGGAAGGCAAGCTTTGATTAGGATATGCAAATGCCACATTTATGACGAAAGCTGATCGCGAGTACAATTTACCAAAATCCGAAGTCGAGACTGACACTAAGAAGGTTGTGCTTTGTGATTGGCTACAATATCACAGTTGCGTAGCCGGCTCGCAAGTGACTGAAAGCCGAATCACGTCCAAGACGCGGGGCGTTGGGTTCGGCAGTCTCGAGAGTTTGAAATCAAACTCCAATATCTAACGACAACGCAGTGTACACTCACGTACATCCCCCCCCGTGGGTGCTTTATTAAGCTTATTGATGCATCAGGGGTTTCTTGGGATGGTGTCGCCTGCAAGCGACCAACAACGCAGGGCACCCAACCCAACCCAAAGCACGGGAAGGGCAGACACGAGTAGCGAACGAGAGGAGCCAAGCTTCCCCCATTCTATGCTCCACCAGCCTCCTCCAGTCCATTCTCCTTTCTGTTCCCAGGGACCCATATCATACTAGAGCCACGTTGCCAGAGCCACACCAATGCCCACCATGTTGTTGCTGTGCTGCGTGCTGCTCCTGCTGACCTGACGCATGTTTGTTGCATCATGTCTGGTACAAGTACCATTCTAGCAAACTGTTTCTCCCATTCCAGCGATAGACGAGTTGTGCATGCCACCACTTGCCGTTCTCTCGGTTTAAGCTTCACTACTGTATCGTCTTTTATTGTGTGAAGCTCCGGGCATTAGTGAAATTCATTCGTGCGCACAAATGCAAGATTAGGTCAGGAAGTCGTATCGGCCCTCGCGCAAAAAAAAGCAGGGAAAGCTCCAGGTTTGCCTGAAAAACATATCAGTTCCCTGAAAAATAATTTGGCTGGAAGCAGTAAGACGAACTGCTGGTCACACAATGCTGCAGCTTGCTATCGTGCTTTGCTGCTGCATCTCCTATGTCCCGGTCTGGAACCAATTATGACCCGTTACCAGGACGAATAGGTCGTCCGGCGAGCGAGCGCGTGCGCCATGCTTCGTAATTCCCTCGCCGGCGTCGACGCGGCAAGGCGCGCCGAGCTGGTGGAATGGGCGGAATCGACTTGGGAGAGCGGCGAGAAGGACGAGGTCATGGCTCACCAGGTGTCGCCCGATCGCATGTCGCTAGCAGCAGAAGCAGCTGTGGGGCAGAACGCGTCGGGAATATCAGGAACGTGGGGCAGGGTTGGAGTTATCGAGGGTGTTGGTGTTCTGAGCGCGGTTCCGAGCCCTAACTCGCTGTCGTCCGTTGCTGCAAACCCTTTCACGCGGAACCTCACAGATCCCAGCAACCGCGTCAGCAGCGCGGAGAATGCGCAGTCGTCGCAGGGATACGACTGGGCGCAGAATGCGAGAGGCGGGAAGAGGCGGGCGAACTCAGGGGGCTCCGTTGCTGCAATAGACCTGAGCGCGCATTCTCACGGAGCTACGCAGCTTTCCCAGCAAGTTTCCCCCCACCATCAGTATTCTCCGCACCACAGAGTACCATCCCCGCAAATGCGCCTGTTATCTCCGCAACACCCGCTGCAATCTCGTCTGCTCTCCCCGCAGCTTCCCCCGCAACGGCGCCTGCTTTCCCCGCAGCTTTCTCCACAGCCTCGCCTACTCTCACCGCAGCACAACTCGATGCTCTCCCCCCACCATTCTCCCCATCGCTCCCCCCACCTCTCACCAAACCACTCCCCTCACCGCTCCCCCCACCCCTCTCCCCATCGCTCCCCCCACCTTTCCCCCCAGCCTCGACTTCTCTCCCCGCAGCGCTCCCCGCAGCCTCGACTTCTCTCCCCGCAGCTCTCCCCCCAGCCTCGACTTCCCCCCAACATTCCATTTCAGCCGCTCCATCGGCTACTCTCCCCGCAACACTCCGGGGCGGATCCGCGTGAGCGCGCCATCCGCCGCACGATCTCCATGCCTGAGGCGGATTTTGACGCCGCTCTTCCCTTTCCGCGCGCGCACGGCGCTTCCGCCGAGGGCGCAGCATTCGCGCCCGGGAGCAGGAACGCGCTGGGCGCAGCGGGGTTGCTTCCGCGGTTGCGGAGCCCGCAACTGGCAACGGGGGTGCGCGGAGTGATGCTAAGAGCGATTGAGGGGCACAAGAGGGGCGCGTCCGCGGACATCGTGGAGACCGCGCAGAGGGCGCTGCGCAAGAGCAGGTGGGCCGGCGGGGGGCCGGGCAGGGAAGGGCGGTGGGGGCCGATGAGCGCTAGGGAATGGCGGCCGGGAATGGAGGTGAAAGGTTTCAACGGAGCAGGAATGGGAGCAGCAGAAAGCGGAGGGGACGAAGAGGGAAGAGGAGTAGGAGGAAGAGGTGGGGTGATGGGGGAAGAGGCCGCTGGCGGTAGCAGCAATGACAGCATCAAGATCATGGTTATCGAGAGAAGTAACGACGGTGTTACTGCTGCTCCTGGTGGGCTCGGCTCCCCTCTCCCCCTAAGTCCCCACAGCGCTACAGCTGCACGGGGCTTTCCAGACGCAGCAGCGCGAGCAGCAGCACCGAAAGCACGAGCAGCAGCAACAGCGGGGGGCAGTGGGAGCAGACCTGTAATGTTCAGGAGCAACAGCGACAAGGGACCAAACACGGGCTCCAGCACTCCTACCAGCAGGCGCGGCGACGTGCCAAGCCAAGGGCAAACCGGGCGCATGGCTCGGCCTGTCACCTCAGTCACCCCAGGTGCAGCCCGCAGAATGGGCGGGCGAGGCGGAAGGGGACAGGGCGCGCAAGGGGCAGTGGCGCAAGGGGGGGCAGGGGGGGCAGGTGATAGGGCGGGCAGTGGAGCAAGCGAGGCGGTGGCAGGTGAATCTGTAGCTCAGGACCTTGCAAGTGGGGGTGATGTGACTCCGAGGGGCCAGAGCAGGCCTTCCTCCGTCTCTGCTTCTGCGTCTGCCTCCGCGTCTGCCTCTTTTTCGGCCAACGCAGCCGATTCGTCCTCTTCTGTCTCTTCTCCCGCCACCTCTGCTGGTGCTGCTTCTGCTGCTGCTGCCACAGGTTCCGCGGCTGTTGGTGCACGGGGAGGCTCGTCCGGTGCAGGCGTTGCTGGTGAGGGTGTGTCTGCTGGAGGCAGGGGGGCTGGCACCGGTGTGGGAAGGGGTCAAGGAAAGGTTGGAGCGCAGGGGCGAGGAGGGGGAGGGGGAAGGGGTGGGGGAGGGGGAGGAGGAGGAGGGGGAGGATTAGTAGGAGGTGGAGGAGTAGGAGAGGAAGGAGAGCAGGCGCGGTGGGCGGAATCACCCAAGGGGGCTTCACCACGCGGATTGAATATGGGAAGCGTTACCCCTCGTGCTGTCACATCCAGCAGTGCTGCGTTTGGGACCCCTTCTCCAGGGAGTGTGACCCCAGGGAGTGTAACTCCAGGGAGTGTGACCCCAGGGAGTGTAACTCCAGGGAGTGTGACCCCAGGGAGTGTGACTCCAGGGAGCATGGGTTCTCGAGGCAGGGGCTTGGGAGTGGGTGTGAGAAGGCCACCAAGAGGAGGAGGTCCTGTGCCTGCCAGCACCATGTTCCGCTCTAAAAGCCTCACAGACGGCCAACACCACCACCAGCAGCAACAGCAGCAGCAGCAGCTGATCTCTCCCCGACTGCACCGACCCCCCCAGCAGCAGCAGCTGCCTGGCCGTGGGGAGCCATCCCCCACAGCAGCAACAGGAGCAGCAGCAGCAGCGGCAGCAGCAAGAAACGCGTTTCCAGGCAAGGCTAGGCCCGTCACGCCTGTTCCAGAAGGTGAGGTGCAAAGCATGCTAGTAGCCACTACTGCTTCTGCTTCTGCTGCTGCTGGTGCTGCTGGTGGTGCTGATACTGGTGCGGGTGCAGCCGACATAGGAGCCGTTTCTGCAGCTGGGCTGTCAGGTTCGACAGGGGCAACAGGGGTAGCAGACGCAGTAGGTTCAGTAGGTGCAATAGCAGCACTAGGAGCGACAGGAGCAGCAGAAAGAGCGGGAGGTTCAGGTGTGGGGAACGGTGGAGTGGTAGGGAGAGGGGTAGTGAGAGGTGGAGGTGCAGGTGCAGGTGTAGGGACAGAACGAGTAGGTGCAGAAGGAGCAGCAGGAGCAGGAGCATCAGGAGGAGCAGCAGGGGCAGCAGGAGGAGCAGCAGCGAGAGGCACAGGCACAGGCACAGGAGCGCGTTTGCCGTTTGGGGCTGTGTCGCCTCGGCCAGGGGGAGTTGCAGGGAGGGGTGCAGCAGGAGGTGCGGTAGCAGGAGGGGCTGTAGCAGGCAACTCTATAGGTGAAAGTGCATTCCCTAGGCCAGCAAGAGGAGGCGTGGCAGGAGGAGCAATGGCCGTGGGGGCGAGCTCGCCCAGAACACCAGGAGCAGCAGCTGCGGCGAGGAGCAGCAACGGCCCTGTGCCAGCAGCATCACCTTCAGGTTCAGGGTCAGGGTCAGGGTCAGGAGCAGGATTGGAAGCGGAGCTAGGATTAGGCCAAGGGTCGAGGACAGGGTGGGGATTGGGGTTTGGTCGGTCCATGTCAGAGAGTGGGGCTGTCAAGCGACCGAGTGGTGCAGGTGGGGCGGGTGGGGCGGGTGGGGAGGGTGGGGTGGGGTTTGAAGTGGGTGAGTTTGCGAGTTTGGCTACCGTTCATGAAGCTGATGGGGCTGTAGCAGCAGAGGCTGTAGCTGATGGCGCTGATCGAGCAGCCGGAGCAGGCGGAGCAGCTGGGGCAGGCGGAGCAGGAAGAGCTGGAGGCGGGGGTGTTGCACTGGGGGAGAGCACAGCAGGGGTGTCGTTGTTCTCCTCTGCTTCTCTTGCTGCCTCTCAACCCCCGGTGAGCCCGCGTCCGTTAGGCCCCACTCGCCCCGCCATGGAGCAACGACAGCAGCAGCAGGGGCAGCAGCGGCAACAAACAGCGCAGGGAGTGGGGGCAGGAGGAGCAGGAGGAGCGGGGCAGAAGCATCAGAAGCAGCACCACGGCAAGTACAGCAGTGGTCGGCCTCCCCCAGTGACCATCCACAACCCCACCGTTGCACAGGGGCGGGCATTGAGCAAGTCTACCAGCGAGCCTGGGTGGCGCCTGGAGGACGTGTCCATGCGCTCGCCTGTCTCCCCCCGAATGCTCCCCCCGCCGTACCCCCATGGGGTTGCGTCGTCTCCTAGGCAATCTCACCCGTTCCAGCATAACCTGCAGCAGCAGCAGCTACAACAACAACAGCAGCAGCAGCAGCAGCAGCAGCAGCAGCAGCTACAACAACAACAGCAGCAGCAGCAGCTACAACAACAACAGCAGCAGCAGCAGCCGTTTATGCAGCTACACGAGGTGCTACAGGCACAGCAGTCGCCTGGGTGGTTCTCTCCAGGGGTGAACCCGCGCCAACAAGGCCGCTCCTCCCTGCTGTCTCCCTCTCACATCCCCCTCTCCCCCACCTCATCCAGCCTTCGTACCCCGCGATTTTCTGCTCTCAATTCACCATCCTTGTCTGCTTCTGCCACCACCACCACTGCTGATGCCTCTGCTTTCTCTCCCGCTGCTCTCACCTCACCTCGTCCCCTTGCTCCCGCTCCCGCTCCTTCTTCTACTGCCGCCGCTGCTGCTGCACCCAGCCCCAGTGGAGCAGTAGCGAGCGGGCACAGCAGTGCGATGGCAGCGAGGCTGCAGGGGGGAGTGGCGGGGCTGCGGAGGCTGCGCAAGGCGCTCACAGCGCCCGCACAGGACCTGGCAGAGGAGGAGCAGGAGGAGGAGGAGGCAGTGACGCTGCTCAAGAGCGGCAACCTGCCCTGGAACCACAGCCCTGTCGCGTTTTCCGTGCATGCCTCCGCTGCTGCTCCTGCTGCTGCTGCTGCCGGTGCTGGTGGTGCGGGTGGTGTGGGTGGTACAGGTGGAGAGGGTGGAACGGCAGCTGAGCCGGATGATTCTGTTCCCTGTCTCATGCACTCCAACTCTATCCACCTCAGCCCTGGGCAGCGAGCAGCTGCAGAGGCTGCCGTTGCAGCTGCGGCTGCCACTGCCGCTACAGCCGCTGCTTCTGCTGCTGCGGTTGTGAAGCCTATGTGGCCTCCGTCGCCTTCTGCTGCTGCTATTGCAGCTGGTCGTGCAGTTGATGCGGACGGGGCAGCATGCAGCAGCGGTGGAGGCAGGGCGAGGCGTGCCCACTCCATGTCCTTCTCAAGCCTCTCTGCTGCTCTGCCTGCTCATGCCGGAGGTGGGGCAGCAGGGGCGGGCGCAGGGGCGGTGGGAGGGAGGGCGGGGAATGCAGCGGGGTATGATCCCATGGCTCTGGGTCTCGTGTCCCCTGCAGGCAAAGGCCCTATGTTTCACCGCACGTGGACCGACCCTGCTGAACGATCGAATAAGGTGCTTGCTGCTAGACGGGCTGTCTCTGGAGCTTCTGCTGCTGCCGCCGCTGCTGCTGGTGGTGCTGGTGCTACTTCTGGTACTGGTAGTACGGCTGGTACGTTTTCTGGTTTTGCATCGCATGCTGCCGCCAGCGGTGATATTAGAGGAGGTGGAGGAGGGGTAGGACCCGGACCCGTGCAGGTGGTATCATCATCAGCATCATCAGCACAGCACCTGTCTCCTCGTGCTGCAGCTGCTTCTCTCGCGTCACCACACGCACCACAGTCGCCATCTGCCTTCCCGCAACAACAACCCCACCCGCTGCTGCACCAGCCCTCACAAACCCACCCCACACCATCAGCACCACCAGGGGCAACAGCAGCAGCAGCGGCGGTTGGGGCCACGTTAAGTCCAACGAACGCCCGGCGAGCTGCCTTTCGCAAGGCGCGCAGCGTGCCCAAGCGCCTGCTCAGCGAAGTCAGCGGCTTCGGGTCCCCCGCAGGCTCCCCTGGTGTGGCGCTCTCCGCTTCCCCCCTTGCCCTCCGCCCCCCCAGGGCTGGGATTAGTGCAGACGGGACGAGGGCCAGCCGCATGGTGGGGGGAGGCGCAGGGGGGGGCGCAGGGGGAGGAGGGGGAGGTGGTGGTGGTGGGGGAGGTGGGAAGGGAAGAAGCGGGAGGAGAGGCCCATTGGATGTGCATGCAGATCTGTCAATCCTTCAGGAGCTTGAGCTGCCGATTTTCTTCCAGAATGGAAGGCCAGGAGCAGGGAAGGGAGGCGCTGGGGGGCGGAACGGGGGAGGTGGAGGACGAGGAGGCGGAGGGGCAGCAGTGGCAACGATGGCTGTGGCAGGGGTAGCGGAGGGGGTGGGTGGGGCGAGCACAGTGCATCTGAACAGGCGGGGGTACGCGCACCGAGTGTTTCGCACGCATAACTTCCCGCTGTCTGTGGGGGCTGTGCTAGGGGCGGTGTCGGACCATAATGACGCTATCACTGTCACCCCTGCCTCGCCCAATGCTGGCAACTCTGCCCCCATTGCGTCCCCTTGGACCCCCCCTTCTGCTCATGCAGCTGCTGCTGGCGGTGGTGGTGGTGGTGGTGCTGGTGCTGGTGCTGCTGCTCCCTCTGCTTCCTTTCCTCAGCACTCCTCCTCGCCTTCCACTCAGGCAGTGCTCTCGTCACCCTCTCCACCCGTCACTCCTCCCATTCTCGCTCCTGCTGTCTCTTCAGCAAGCTCAGGAACACAGGTGGGAGGGAGAGCAGGAGGCGGCGCAGCGGGCGCAGCAGAAGGGCCAGGAGCAGCAACCGCAGCAGCAGCTGTGGGTATGCCAGCAGGGTTTGCGTTCCTGCCTGACAGGAGGAACACAGAGTCAATCGACACAGCAGCCGCAACCGCAACAGTACCTGAAACATCAGCATCAGCTGCAGCAGCTGCGCTTCCTGCGTTTTTGGGCAGGGGACCGGTAGGAGGAGGAGGAGGAGGAGGAGGAGGAGGAGGAGGAGGAGGAGGAGGAGGAGGAGGAGGAGGAGGAGGAGGAGGAGGAGGAGGAGGAGGAGGAGGAGGAGGGGCCCTAGCAGGGCCACCACCAGGCAGTCTGATTCGTAAGCTGTCGCTCTCGCTCTCGCCTCTGCTCATCCCACAAACCGACTCCGTGGATAGCAATGAAGGGGGTGCTCCTGTCCCTATCGCTGTTCCAGCCACTCAGGCGTCCACTGCTGCGGCTACTGCTGCTGCTGGGGATACTTACGGTACTGGGGGTACTGGGGGGGTACCTGTAACTGCTGTTCCTCTGGAAGCGTTCCCAGCAGCGGCAGGCAGCAGTGCAGCAGGAGTAGTGCCTTCCCCATGGCTCCCAGTGGCCTCTCCCCGTCCCATGCCCTCCAAGGCACTCGCCCCTCGCACCCCTGCCGCCACCACTCCCACCCTTCCCACCGCCACCACCCCCACCTTTGGAAGCCAAACCGCGAGCAACAGCAACAGCGGCGGCGGCGGTGGCAGCAGCAACACCCGGGGAGCGGGAAGCTGGGGAGAATCAACAGCTTCTACTAGTGCCTTTGCTATGGGTATGCTGAGTCCGATGTCTGGCGGCAGGGGAAGGGGCATGGGTGCAGGCCGGGGCAGCAGATTTGTCTCACACTCCATCTCCCTGTCCCCCTCCTCCTCTTCTACAGGGCGAGTCAGCAGCCCTGTACTGGGGAGTGCAGGAGCAGCAGCAGCCGCAGCGCACAACGCACAGCATAGATCCAACGGGCCTCCCAGTCCCATGGGGTCAATGGGGTCAATAGGGTCAAACGGGTTCTCAAATGGGTTCTCAAGCCCGCTGGGGTCAATGGGGTCAGCTAACGGGCCTCTCAGCCCGCTCCGCTCCATGGGGAGTCTAGGTCTGATCAGCCCCAGAGGAGGCGGCGCAGGAGCAGCAGCAGCAGCGGCAGGCATAGGTGTGAGCCACCTCATGCGGCATGCGTCTGTGGGCGCATCATCTACCACTGCGCCCCTGGGTCTTATGAGCCCTGTGGGTGGCAGGGGCGGCGGCCGTCTCTTCAGCCCAGTGCTTGCAGGACCGCACGGGGCCGGCAGAGGCCGAGGCGGAGTGCCGCTGGGGGCCGCAGGAACAGCAGCAGCAGCAGCAGCAGGAGGAGGAGGAGGAGGAGCAGCAGCAGGAGGGGCAGCAGCAACAGCAGGAGCAGGAGGGGCAGGGGCAGGGGCAGCGGCAGGGAAGTACCCTCGGTTCCCATCGGAGGGCGGGCAGCAGTCAGCAGTGGCAGCACTGGGTGCTCTCAGCGGTCTCCTGAGCCCCCGTGGAGCCGCAGGGCTGGTCCCCGCACACAGCCTCCCTGCCAAGTCCCGCCTCCCCCAGCATGGATCGCTCTTATGGGGCATGCCTGATTCCGCTTCCCTGTCTGCAGTCCCTGGTGGCGGGGGTGGGGGTGGGGATGAGACGACGGGGGGGTTTGCGGGGTTTGAGGGGGCCTTTGGGGGGAGCGTCGGGGATGGGGATGGTTGTGAGCGGGTGTCTACTGGTGGAGGAGCAGAGGATCTGTATTCTGAGTCGGGATCGACTGCAGGGGACGGCACAGGGGGAGGCGGAGGGGCAGCGGGAGGGGGAGGAGGGGGAGAGATGGGAGGGTTGAGTGAGGATGGTGTGGGAGCGGGTGAGCTGCGCACAGCAGCAGGGATAGTGCGGGAGAGGGAGGTGGTGCGATCCGAGATTCTCGTAGTGGACTATTTCGACAGCGAATCAGACACTTCTGTAGCCAACTCCCCCTCTATCGCCAGCAGCCGCGCTTCCACTGCTTCGGAAGCAGCTTCTGGGGCTGCTGCTGCTGCTGCTGCTGCGACTGCTGCTGCTGCTGCCGCAATCAGAAACGCTTTTGGCGGCCATGGCAATGGGTTTAGCGTCAGTGGCAGCCCAGACAGTCCAGCGTCAGTCAATTCGAGCACATGGGGTGGTGGGAGTGGTGGCAGTGCTGGCAGCGCTAGGCATGGCATGGGCATGGGCATGGGTATGGGAATGAATGGCAAGGTGCACAGTCCTACCCTGCCTCTTAGTCCCTTAAGCCCTTTCAGTTCCTCTACCAACCCCTACAGCCCTCTCCGCCCTACCAGCCCTCACCACAGCCCCAATCCCATCAATCTCCCCCCTCCTGCTGTGTCTGTTGCCAGTGCTGATGCTGCTGGTGGTGGTGCTGCTGCTGCCGCTGCTGATGGTAGCGCTGTTACCAGGAGTAGTGCTGGTGGTGGTGCGAGTGGTGCTAGAGGGAAAAAGGGCCGTGGTCGAGCATTTTGGCGGGTATCGGGTGATCACTCAGGGGCCAGCATCTCTCCGTCTAGAATGGTTTTTAGCAAGAAACAGCAGCAGCTCAAGAAGCAACAGCAGCAGCAGCAGCAGCAGCGGGAGCAGCAGGAGCAGCAGGGAACAGCATCATCACCGCTGTCATCATCAGCATCAGCATCACCAGATACACACTCCCCCGCATCAGCATCCCCATTGTCGTCATCAGCATCAACACCCGCTGCCAGCAGCAGCAGCAGGCGTCTCTTCCCACTCTCTGCATCCGCCTCCTCTGCTGCCTCTGCTGCGCAGCACCCCATTCCTCTGGGCTCCAGCACTCGCTCGCTCTCCATGCCCTCCCACCCTGCTGACACCCCCAGCACCCCATCCACCCCGCCGGACACAGCAGCCTTTTCCATGGGACAGGCTGAACCCACTGCCAGCAGCAGCAGCAGCAACACTGGTGGTGCTGCTGGTGGCGCTGGTGGCGCTGGTGGTGGGGTTGGCAGCAACACTGGTGGTGCCGGCAGTGGTACCGGTGGTGATGGTGGTACTGGTGATGGTGATGGGGGTGCAAGCAGCAGCATGAGTGTGAAGGGCGCACAGGCAGACCCCCCCTCCTCGCCTTTGGTCCAGGGCAAGATGAACATGATGGGGTGTGGGCCTCCCTTGGGGGTCTTCCGATCACCCGCCGTCACTTCCTCTGTCTCTGCTGTGCTACGCCATGCAAGCAAAAGCAGAGGGGGGCTGGACCAGTTCCCCCAGCAGCATCAGCAGCCGGAAGGGGAGGCTGAGGGGGAAGGTGAGAAGGTTGTGAGTGGCAGCAGCAGCAGTTTGGGGGGCGTAGGCATGGGGGACACGAGTGGAGTGAGAGAGGATGGGGAGGGGACAGGTCGAGGGGAATTTGATGGTGGAGCGTCGGCAGCTGGGGAAACAGTGGAGAGAGTAGGGGGTGTAGGAAAGGAGGAAGGAGGAGGGGGCGGAACAGCAGCAGCAGCAGCAGCAGGAGGAGGAGGAGGAGGAGGAGGAGGAGGAGGAGGAGGAGGAGGAGGAGGAGGAGGAGGAGGAGGAGGAGGAGGAGGAGGAGGAGGAGGAGGAGGAGGGGGGGGGGGGGAGGAGGAGGGGGGGGGAGGGGGAGGGGGAGGAGGCAAGGCAGGAGGCCATAAGCAGTCGCACTCACGGTCGGGATCGCTTATGGAAGGGGTTCGCAACTGGGGAAGATCCAAGGTGAGCATGCGAGGAAATGTTTTGAGTCATCCCACACCATGTTTTGAGTCGGCTCAAAGCAGTCGCTCTTACACTTGCGATCGCTCATGGAAGGGGTTCGCAACTGGGGAAGATCCAAGGTGAGCATGCGAGGGAGTTTTTCCCTCCCTGCAATGCCCACTTCGTTTTCCTGTGATTTGCTTCATTGGTGTGCGCTCCTCTCTATGTTTGTGTTCTGACTTGTCCTTCCTCCCAAACAAGAGCCGTGTGTGCCTTGTATTCTTCATTATGCTCATGCTTTTGTTTGAATGTACGACCATTTTCTCTTTTACTCCCTCCCGCACATCCTGCAGTCCTCAAGCTCATCACATCACTAACTCCTCTCGACTATGCCTGCCGTTGCTGCCGCCACTCCGTCACCATTGGTAGCAGCAGCAGTGGGCAGCGGCAGCAGCAGCAGCAATAGGTGGTGGAGTGGCGTATGTCAGTAGCAACTGGAATACACGCCAATCGTTGAGTTGAAGCGAGCTAAATGAAGGTTCTGGATTGCCACCGGTGTGTGCAGGAACTCGAGTCAAGAGGATCTCCTTGTATAGCGAAATTCCCTTAGATGCACGGAGAATGTTGATTTGCAGCCCCAGGATAGGATTATATTTCGTTGCCATGAGAGTAGCAGGGAATAGCAGAGCAACCTGTAATGCCTAGTTGTTTAGCACAAGCATTGTTAAATCTATATACATTCTAAACGGTAGCACGTCATCGAGTAACGAAAACTCACCAGAAACGCTTCATCGGTTGGTTGTTGACAGCACCTGAAAGTATTTTCACCAATTCGCGGACGGGGTTGTTTGTTCGTTCGTGCTGATTCAGGTGCGCCGAGGCGATGGTGGAGAACGTGGTGCTTTGCGCCATTCGTTCTAGTCTCAAGGCTCGATACCAGAACCCTTCGTACAAGAGATCGATACGCTGACGGAATGCACTGCTACTGGCGAAGACTTTCCTCGGTTCACCACCATAACTAACGATCAAGCCCCTTCACACCTGACACGAACCTTTTGCTGACGTGGGAGTGCTTTTATTCTGGCAGCAAGGCCCAGCCAGGTCATCGAACCAGCACAGCATTGACAAAGAAACGCGGCGCGCAGAGTCGACGGTCGCGAATCGGTGGAATTTCCGCCCCGGCTCGTGGTTTGAAGGGTGGGTCATTCTGGTGGTGGCGGCGGCGATCGGGCAGCAAATTTTGCATATTCTTTGAAGGGCAGGGTGGGAAAGTGCCACACCCTATGGCGTTGTGGTGTAACGTGGTTTTGTGTGTTTTGATGTGGTGTGGCGCTATCTTATGACCGAAAACTGCAAAAGATTCCGAACCGGTTCGGCTCGGGAAGTGAAATTGTATCAAGTGGTGCACTCTCTCACACGCGTGGCCTCGAGCGATGATGATGGGTAAACACCTTCCTTCCCCTCGCAACGCAAGCCACGCATCCATCCATCCACCCACCCACCAATTTTCTCCTGTTGTACAGTTCGATTTCCCATGCCATACCCTGCTACCATGCCATGCCATACGGCCCACCAACAAATTGTACCATTTCTCCAATCACACCTCCTCCTTGTTGCCCGCCGCAATACACCCCGAAGGCTCCAATAGCCGGGCACTGCTTGCAGTGCACGTCAACGACTCACGTTCCACCTCTTTCGCCACGCACGCAACACAACTCACCCAATCCAGCCCGTCATCTGCCTCCTCCCGCTCCCCATTCATCCCACCATCTGCACCACAAGCCGCACGCGAAGGATCGTCTCGTCTCGTTTCGCCTGGCCAGGGCAGACGGGAAAACCGTCTGCTCGCGCTCGCGCTGGCAGGCAACGTTGCGCGCAGCGAGCTGGGGTGAGGGGGGATCAGCCCCGAATCTCCGCCCTTTGCGCCCCACCGTGGGCAGACGAAACCACTTTAGTGCCACAAAACTCACCACTTGCTCCTCATCTCTCCCTACACACGCGTTGTGCGACGACAATCCCTTTGAGTCAAATCATCAAGCTCGAATTGACCACCTCCCACTCCACCGCATTATCCGGCGTCTCACTCCAGCGCGTGTTTCTGGCAAGCCTTCCAAGGAGGATCCGCCTAGAGTCCACTATACCTCGCGAGTCATCACGCCACTTTATCTAACCACCCCCGGCTCACGAAGACTTCCCATCTCACGTGAACTTTTTGTCGACTCTGAAGCTTCCTGCAGCGACTTCTTTGCACCGTCGATCCGGACTTCGCGCCGCGCGTTCACTTGGGTCGTTTTGTTTCTATCCGTACGATGGCATCGGAGTCCGTCCATCGCCACGCGGGGATGATCGAGCTGGACTTGCCTCTCCCTGACGTCATCACTGCGACGGATGCGGTGGGAACTTCGGCGATATCCACGCTTGCCGCAGGCCCAGGGAGCGTCAAACCCGTCTCCGCCGCCGAAGCAGCAGCAGCAGCAGCCGGCATGTTTCTTGCCAATACTCCTGCCGTTGTCACTGCGTGCGGCGTGCATGTGTGCGCGTGTTCGGACTACAAGGAGGCCATTTACGACCTCGCGAATGCGAGCTGGAGGCAGCTCGGGGACGTTTGTGTCATGAACAACCCCTCCAACTCCATCTCTGCGCGCTCCCAAGCTCTGCTCGAGAAGCGCGCCGATGATTCCGAGGTTCTTCTTTCTGGTAAAACTGCTGCGCAGGTCAACCAGCAGCACCTGCCCCAGCAGCAGCAGCAGCAGCAGCAGCAGCAGGAGGAGCAGGCGCAGGAGGAGTTTTCGTTTTTCCAGTTCCCCGTCGTGCCCCAGCGCACCATGTCCCTTCCGCTCGTGGATCGTCCCCGCCTCGGGGAAGTTTCGCCCCTGGGAAACGACGGCTGGGTTGTGACGGGCGTTGCGGGAGCTGCACCCGACTGGCGCGACATGTCGGCTGCGGAGGAGGTGCGCTGCGCCGCGATGCGCGAGCAGGGTTACTGTCTGTTCGCCAGGGGCGGCGGCGTGTGCTCCCCTGGCGGCCTTGGCGGGTTCTCCGTACCCGTGCAGTGATTGGCGCCCGCCTCTGCCCCAGGCTGCTGCGACTGTGCTGAGACGAAGAAACAAACGGCTCTCTGCAGGGTTTTGTACATTGGATTCAGTGTCACAGTCGGGAACATGGTGTGGGACCAGCTGCGCTCGGGTGTGTGATGATGCTACAGCACTCTGGGAGGGCGACGCAGAGAGGCGATGCAGAGAGTAAGAAGCAGGTTGACAACGGAGTCTGCAAGAGAAGCACGAGGAAAATTGACAAACGTCTTGTTGAGCGGTTTGTGAGAGTGGGAATTCTGGGTCGGAGGAGAGGGAGGGAAATATTTATCTGGCAGGGGAGCCGGCAGCTCTTTCCATGGTTACATCTTTGTACAGGAGCGAATTTCTCACCACTCTGTGCATGGCTATTTTGGCCGACTATTGGTGGCGGGAGATAGCTGGTAGGGTTTTTAGCTTGTACATAGCTGTCATGTTTGTTTTGAGGGTGTCCTGCTTATGGTGGCTGTGCTATGTACATGTTTAGCCATAGTGAGCTTCTGTACTTAACTGTTGATGGTTATTATTTTGATCATGGTGTATGCTGAACGAAGTACTGGTGCACTCCCATCCTTACAGCTCTAGAGATTACCTCAGGCACACAAGGAGTACACGTACTACCGGATATATTGCAGGGATGCTTCCTGTTTTAAACAGCCAAGGTTTGCTGTATATATATGTTATGATTTGTGTGCATTCAAGTTTCAGGGAGCAAGCAATTCCAAGCCTGCGAGCCGCACTCCACATTCGGACTTCACGAGTTTGCCAGCGTCACCAAAACGCCCGCGTGACGAGGAGGAGTGTCTTGCCAAGTTTGCCACATCACGATCCACGGCCTTTTCTGTGCCCAGACTTCACAGAACACATGAGATTGCATCTGAGGCGTTGAGAAGAATCACCCAAATCTCGCATCTGTTGTGAGTGGAGGTGGTTGAAGAACTGGACACGTCAAGGCAGGCTGGCAAATTCCCGTCCTGGCGTGTCAAACTGTTACTACGAAATGAGGATGTGGTTGGAAATCGGAGTGAATCGATTCAGACCACTTCAAGCTCCATTGTTTAAAAACAACCTCTCCGAAGTTCTAGCAGGATTTTGCGGTTTCATCATGAAGCGCCCCCCTATCTCAAACAGCCTCGGGATTCAACAAAAAGTGGTCACAAAGTGAAGAGCCCGAGTCGCACTCCAGCCCAGACGTGTAAACGCGTCCTGAATAGATGCTTTTCCACTGTCCTGTCTGCTCACATTCCCTTCCACCACATCACACTTCTGCTCACCCGCAGCATTTTTATCATACCATTTCACATTTGCTGCATCACAAGCACAACAAGCAGCACCACCTGCCTTCAGGACGCTGTGTTCCTTCCTCTCCTGCGTCGGTTCGAGGCGAGGCTTGCAGCGTCTAGATCAGGGCCTCGTTTTGGCGAGCTTGTTTCTGCCCTCGCCGTTTTGCGTGGTGCGTGTTCGCTCGTGCTTGCCGAGTAGCTCTTCTCTTGCATCACACGGCGGCAACTATCACATAGCTTGCAGAGGCGACGCTTACGTCCCGCGACTTAAGGGTCTCCCACCACTCCATATCGTTTCACAGTTGTCGCGTCTCTGGTCGCATGGCGGCCGTGCGAAGAACTGGAGTCGCTGCGACGCGGCTGTTGGACTGCGTCGCCGCAGTCGCCGCATCTGGGCGGCACCACATGATTGCCTTGGATTTTTCTTCCCAATCCATCCCCGATAAAGGCATACCACGGGACTACCACACCGCGCCTATCTCCGCGCCGAGTAACCTCATCCGTTGCTCCTCGTCGTCAGTCGCGACTTATTTCTCGCCGCCCTACGCGCCATGCTTTTCCGAGTCGCGGTCGACTGGGAGAAACCACCCTGCGAGCTTATTTCACGGCGCGCTCTTCTGCGGGACAGGATGCGCGCGCCGATTCCACCCCCCACGACCCGCCGCTATGTCCCCAATCTCCGCGCGCGGCATCGCCGGAAGTTCCGCCAGTGGGGGCGCTACCAGTGGCGCGGAGCCCGGCGGAGGCGCGGAGGACTGCGGGGGCGGGCACGCGATTCTGGAACTGAAGCTAGCGCAGACGGGCGAGGGGATTGCGGAGTGCGAGTTGCTGCAGTGGTTTGTGGAAGAGGTGAGGGGTTGGATCAGCGCGGGGCGACACGGGGAGGGCCGGGAGGAGGGGGGGTGAGGGGAGGTGAAGGGGGGTGAGGGGAGGGACGGGGAGGGTGCGTGAGGGTGGGTGACTGGATATCACTTTCACTCGCGAACTTTATGCATCCTAGAAACATTCCCGACAACCTCGCGCGTTTCTTTCGCCCCCTCGTGTTCTCCTCCCCCAAATCTCCCCCTCTTCTCCCCCCTTCCTTTCACCTTCCCTCCCTACCCGCCCGCTCCTCCCGCTCCCCCCACCCCCCACTCTCCTCCGCGCGCGCGGCAGGGTGAGGAGGTGCGCGCGTTCCAGCGCGTGTGCCAGGTGCAGAGCGACAAGGCGACGGTGGACATCACGAGCCGCTTCCTGCGCACTTCCAGGCCTCCCACCTCTTCCCACCTCTTCCCACCTTCTCCCTCCCCACCAACCTCGCACGTCTCTTCTCACACCCGGCTCCTACCCTTCTTCCCCCATTCCCCCCCGTCTTCCCGCTTTCTGTTTCCGCCTCTTCCCTCCCCCTCTCTCCCCCCGCCCCGCGCGCGCGCAGGGCGAGGAGGTGCGCGCGTTCCAGCGCGTGTGCCAGGTGCAGAGCGACAAGGCGACGGTGGACATCACGAGCCGCTTCCACGGCCGCATCCTGCGCACGCACTTCATGCCGGGGGACGTCGTTAAGGTGAGCACCGCCACGCGCGGGGGAGAGGGGGACGATGTGGGGGAGGATGGGGGGAGGATGGGGGATGTTGTGAAGGTGCAGGGAAGTGTTGTTGACGGGGATGGCAGGGGGGGGTATTTGAAGGGAAGGGGATGGTGGAGCGGATGAGGTGCTGAACAATGTTTCTGGGTTTTTCTTTCTTCTTTCTTTCTTGCTTCTTTTTTTGCTTGTATGATGTCACAACTCCCTTTGTGTGACGACGAATCACTCTCTATGAATCCATTCATCCCACCATGACAGGTCGGAGAGACCTTAGCGGACATCCTTCCTCCCGGCGCAGGCGAACCTGTAGCCACGTCAGCACCGACACCTCATGACACGTCATCAGAGCCACAGTCATCGTCAGCCTCCTCCACCTCTTCCTCTTCCGCCACGTCGCCGTCTCACTCCGACCAAAGCCACGAAGTGCTGGCAGTGCCAGCGGTGCGCCACCTGGCGAGGACACACGGGATCAACCTGGCTGACGTGGAGGGCACGGGGCGGGACGGGCGCGTGACTAAAGAGGATGTGCTTGCATACGTACAGTCACGGCAAGGCGTGGAGGAGGAGATGAGAATGGAAGAGCATGTGCTGGAAGGACCAGAACCAGCCATGGCTGAACCAGGGGCGCTAGGAGCAGCAGCAGCAGGAGGAGGAGGAGGAGGAGGGAGGGGAGTGCTGGTTGGAAGGGGGGTGGAGGCTGGGGTAAAGGAGGAGGTGGGGCGGATGGGTGTTGCTGCTGCTGCTGCTGCGCAAGGAGAGGGTGTGGACGCAGGTGCGGGTGCAAGAGCACGCGTTGATGACTCTAACGACATCCTGCTGCCAATGCGGTGAGATGTTTGGGACGCGTGAATCGTGATGACGTGGATGTTTTTGAAAAAAGGCCAGGGAGGGATGGGATGAACAGACTAAAGCTTGTACTAGTCGGTAGGTACTGCATGGCACTGCGTGCATTCCAGTAGTACTGGAACACCACACATACTCAATAATGCATCAAAGCACTCTGCAAAATGTCTCTACTGCCCACGCTCCCCACCTACCCACTCTCTAGATTCTCCGCTCTTCCCCCTTGCGCCCCCGTCTCCCTGCATCGTTGCACCTCCCCATCCTCCCCCACAGCGTGTGTGTATTAGTAAACCATAACGCATTCTGCTCCGCCTCCTCATGTCCCTCATATCCTCATCTTCCCACCACCCCACCTCGCAATCCCCTCCATGCAGTGGGTATCGGAGGGCCATGGCGAGGGCAATGGCAGCAGCGCTGGCAGTGCCGCACTTCACCTTCATGGATGAGATCTCCATGGACGCTGCTCTCTCCCTGCGCTCCCAGCTCAACTCCGCCTCCTCCTCTGCCGCTGCCTCTGCCGCTGCTGCTGCTGCTGCCGGTGTCAGTGGTGGTGGTTCCGTTGCTAAGCCTGCAGCTGACAAGGCAGGAGGAGCGGCGGTTCGGCTGACGCATCTGCCGATTCTGGTGAAGGCTCTGTCGGTTGCGCTGCAGGACTACCCCACGCTCAACAGCACTCTTGATGATGCCTCCTTCAACCACCTCCGCTGCAAACGTAAGACGCCCCTGCTGCTGCTGCTGCTGCTGCTGCTGCTGCTGCTGCTGCTGCTGCTGCTGCTGCTGCTGCTGCTGCTGCTGCTGCTGCTGCTGCTGCTGCTGCTGCCACTGCTGCTGCTGCTACTCAACTTCAGTTGCTGCCACTGCTGCTGCTGCTACCCAACTTCAGTTGCTGCCACTGCTGCTGCTGCTACCCAACTTCAGTTGCTGCCACTGCTGCAGCTGGCAAAGACGACGTCCCCCATGCTGCTGGCTGTGCTTCCAGGGCTGTTCGGCCCACCTTGTGGTGCCTCTGATTCCCCCGAATCATCCATCCCCACATATCCTCGCATGTGTGTGCATGCAGGGGCGCACAACATTGGCATTGCCATGGCAACGCCATCAGGCCTCGTGGTTCCCAATGTCAAGAACTGCCAGAGCAAGTCCATTCCCCAGGTAGGTATACCGCCGCCCGTTTTTCAAGAGCTCCACCTATTGTTTTCAAGTATGCTTTACAAGTTTTACACACGCCGCACGCTGGTTTACGCACGCTGCAATCGGCTATTCTAACGTCCTAAGCCCACTTGCCCACTTGAATTCAGCCCACTTGCCCACTTGAATTCGGCCCACTTGCCTCCCGGCCCCCAACGTCTTCCGGCGCCTCCTCCACCAATCAGATTGCAGAGGACATTGCCCGTCTGCGCCGCCTGGCTCTGCTGAACCAGCTGCCCAATGAGGACGTGACAGGTGGCACCATCTCGATCTCCAACATTGGCAGCATCGGCGGCACGTACGCCACGCCCCTGGTGCATCTGCCAGAGGTGGCTATTGTGGCTCTGGGCCGCGTGCACACCATGCCGCGATTTGACGCCCGTGGGAACGTGGTGCCTGTGGCGCTCATGAATGTACGTGGTCGGGTGTGGTGGGGTGGGGTGGAGTGTGGTATGGTGTGGTGTGGTGTGGTGTGGTGGGATGGGTGCATGGTATAATATCCTCTTCCCCTCCTGTGTGTCCCTTGTGTCTCTCTCTTTCACATCGCCCATTACGCTCGTGAACCCCATCTGTGCATGGCATGGCCTGCCATGCCACGACACTCTTGCAGCCTGTTTTTTTTTTTTTTTTTGCTAGAAGTGACTTCCCGACTGCAGCTTACCCAGTCCACATGGCTGACGCTCGTGAACCCCATCTGTGGATGGTATGGCCTGCCATGCCATGACACTCTTGCAGCCTGCTCCTCCTGCTGTGGTCCCTTTGCCCCACTCCACAGAGATCCTTCTACCCACTGTGACCTTCGCCCCACTGACCCCCCTACCCCTGCACCACACTGACGCCCCCCCCCCCTCCCCCCTACCCGTACACTCCCCATCACCTCACTGACGCGGACCCCCCCCCCCCCCTCCCCCCCCCACCCCTACACCCCCCATCAACTCACTGACGCCCCTATGCTCCCCTACAGGTGAGCTGGTCAGCGGATCACCGGGTCATCGACGGCGCCACACTGGCAGCCTTCTCCTCGCACTGGAAATCCTTTATTGAGTGCCCCGCCAACTTGCTGCTGCACCTCATGTAGAGTGCAGAGTCAATTAAGCGTGTTCATGGTAGTTGTTTATGGTGCTGTATATAGGTTGTGCTTATGGGAAGTGTTTGGGGAGAAGGGGCAGGGGGAAGGGGGTGTTTGTTAGCCCTTACATTGTGTGTACCGTATGTGTATATTCTTCTGTACATATTTGTCCTTACCGTACTATTGCCTGCCGGCTCTAAGACTCTGAGCCACCACAAGCAGCGCGATTCAAACTGATTTGAATCCCCGAACATATTCCCACCCATGACCCTTAGGCATGGGCAAGAAAGGTCTCCATTAATTCACATACCGGATGCATGGCAAAGAATACGAGCAATAAAGCAATAAAGCAATAAAATAAAGCACACGAGCGAGCAACGTTTACCGGTACAGGCCCCACCAGTCAAGCAACCATGGCTCCCAGCAAGTCACCAGGAATTGGACAAGCCAGCCAGGAAAGGTACACACGTGACATACGGTATGGTACCGGAACCATCATTGAGTGCGGCTCAGCAGCAACACCTTCCAACAAGAGAAGCCTACATTGGTCGCTGGTTACCGGCCCACGGAACGGAGAGTGGGCTAATGAGATTGCTGTTGCCCTGAAGAAAAATACGGCAACGGTTTCTGAATACCCACACACAACGCAACGCAATGCAACCTGAACTGTCCCACATCCTGTACCATCACAGGTTGTTGCGGTTGACAGGTTAAACAAATCAAATCCCAAGGCTCTGCTCTGCTCCATGAAGTCTTGCAAGATCCCCCCTCCTCCTTGTCTACCCCACGGGGATCATGATGGCATGACATGACAGCCTCTGCAGACCCAGACAAAATCAAGCCACAGATGTTACCGGTACTTCACAGTCTGCCCAGTCATTGTTCACTGACGGTTTTGAGGCGTGTGTGCCTAAGGCACAATCTAGTAGAGGCAGATGCAACTAGTGCGCCTGCTCTCCTGAGCCATCAATTTCTTGCGGTATGGTATGTATGATGACGCGTGTATGATACGGTGAACCGAAGCATTGAAGCGTGGCTTCTTTGCTTCGGTTGCGATGCGAACCAATCCGTTTTCTTCCGGAACCTCGAAAAAGAGTGAGCAAGCACTCAAAGCAGCACTGCTCAGCTCAACTCCTCCCCTCCTCCCTCGCCCCCAAGCGTTTTTCTCGGGGTTAAAGAGCCTACGGTCGCACCACCGGACTCAAGCGCTGATAGCACAGCACTGCCTTTCATTGGACGTTCCAATGCGTCTTTCTAGAGCTCTGCCAACTCGACTGACATACGGCTTACACCGCCCGGAGCTCAGCCTGAATAATCGACAACCAGCCAGCCACCAACCCCCATGCCTGCTGCTGCTGCTGCTGCTGCTGCTGCTGCCATTACGTGTCGCCACTGCCGCCGTTGCCAGGGCTGCCACCGGAGCCATTGCCAGTGTGAGTACCAGTGCTGTCGACTAGTCTGCCGGTGGCAAGTGCACGCGCAGCTAGGCTCAAGGAAGGGGGCTGCTTCCCCTGCTTGGGGTTCAGGCACAACGGGCCCCCTGATGCACTACTCACAGCGACACTGCTGCTGCTGCTGCTGCTGCTGGTAACGGTGGTAATGTTGTTGCTACTGCTGCTGCTGCTGCTGGTGCCAGTGGAGGCAGAGGGCGATGCGCTTTCCACAGACCAGAGAAAGGATGCGTATGCCGCCAACACATAGCTGTTGGGTCCGGAGAGGAGGGTGGAAGTGGAGGGGCCAGGAGGGAAGATTGTACTCAGCAATTTACTCCCACACGCACCACACGCACCAGTCACGTGTGACAAGAGATAATGTACGAGTCGACTCGACTCGACTCAAATATCATCCCACACGCACCAGTCAAGAAGCGCCCCACAAATCATCTCCGCACGTACGCACCAGTCATGAGGTACCACTTCCACAGCATGGTCAAAGAGGGCCAGAGCTCGCTCTCCATGTGATGAGCCAAAATGTTTGAGTAAACTGACTATCATCTCCTGTCCTGCACGCCTATGTTGGAAAAGTCACCAGCCAGGGACAACGTACAGCGTATATGCATAGACGTATATACGGAGTACGCAATACGCACGTATATTCGCTCGAAAATGTCTGGGCTGCCCGGCAAAAAAAAAAAACAAATTTCGCGCACGAAATTTGAGTTTGCGACGAGACTCACATTGTGCGCACGTCCCAAACAATCTCGTCAACCCTAACACATAAAATTCGAGACGTGGGGGACATTTCAACCGCATTGCACCTTCTGTTACCCCCAGACTCCAACTCATCTTCACAAATGTCATCAACCAGCCAACCACGCAACTCTCTCACCTAGGTGAGTTCCTCCGCTCGTTCATTCTCTCTCCAGTTCCCTTGACAACCTTACGATGTCGACCCCTTATGGCACTCCCGCGAGTGCGACAAGTGAGGTTCCTAGTGCCTCCTCCTGTGACGCGACAATCGCGGATGCGAATCTTCTGGATAGCACTGCACGGGAAAAAGTTTTACCTGCCCGGGCAGCGTATTTTCAGCGTATAACAAAATCACTCTTGTAGCGCATCTCGTACTATACGCCAGCGTATATACGCTGGCGTATAATACGCTGGGCGCGACTTTTCCAACATAGCTGCACGCACTGGATTTGAGTCGACTCAAAAGCAGACAAATGTTTGAGTAAACTGAGTTTCATCTCCTGCCCTGCCCTGCACGTACCAGTCATGAGGCGCCACTTCCACAGCATGGTCAAAGAGAGCTAGAGCCCGCTCCCCGTCGCGCCACCCCTCCCACACCGCCTTAGCCCACAGCACCAGCACCTCCCCCTCCTCCACCCCTGTCACGCCCTTCACTCCTGCGACTCCTTTCGCTCCTTTCAACCCCTTCAGCCCCCCGTTGTTTGTGGGGCTGCTTGGGCTCTGATCCATTCCCGCTGCCCGTCCTTTCACGCGCGCCCGTTCTTCTGCTTGGCTGGCTGCAACTGCCCGCCGGAACATTTCGTCTGCCCGATGATAGTCATTGATCTGGAAGTTTAAGGGTGGGAGGAGGGAAGATGAGGGGAGCAGGGAAGATGAAAGGTCGAGGGAAAACGAGGAGCGAGGATGAGGGGAGTACGGAAGATGGCGAGACGAGGGGGGGCGTGGAGCATCAGCAGCGCAACCAGAACACACGTACAAACCGTAAACCATAAGAAAAATAACAGCCGGCAGCTATCCATACAAACAAATAAGCACACACATGCACACGCAGGCACACACACCATGCTCATAAGTGAGAGCACATAACCATTAACAGAGCCACAGGTACTGAACAAACGCCAGGGCGTACCTCACATGGGAAGAGCGAAAGAAAGAAAGAAAGAAAGAAAGAAAGAAAGAAAGAAAGAAAGAAAGAAAGAAAGAAAGAAAGAAAGAAAGAAAGAAAGAAAGAAAGAAAGAAAGAAAGAAAGAAAGAAAGAAATGTACCATACAAACGGCAGGGCAGCACAGCGCACCTCACAGAGGAAGCGCGCATAGTCACAGAGCAGCAGAGCGTTGGTGGGATCGTCTTTTGAGACGTCTCAAAAGCACACCTCACCTCACAGAGGAAGCGCGCATAGTCGCAGAGCAGCAGAGCGTTGGTGGGATCACTGCGCACAGCACGCAAGTACTGCTCGTCCTCCTCCTCCACACTCGCTGCTGCTCTCCCCCCCACTGCCGGCCCCTCCACTGTCATCCCCTCCACTCTCATCCCGCCGTGCACCACTGCTCCCTCCCCCTTTCCCCTTCCTTCTTCCCCTCCCCTTCCCTCTTTCCTTCTCCCTTCCCTCTCGCTCTCTCCTCGTCTCCTCTCACTGTTCAGGCGCACACCAGCGCGGGGAACTCTAGAACCAGATTCTCCACTGTGCTTTCTTTCCCTCTCCTCCCTCTCCTCCCTCTCCTCCTTCTCCTCCCTCTCGTCGCTTTCGTTCCTCACTTCACTCTCCTCCCTCGTGCTACTCCCTTCCGTAGCTTCCCCACCATCTCTCCCTTCCGCCATCTTGCCCCCATCCTTAACCCCACTGTATTCCCAACCAGACCTTGCCGCACGCTCATCTTCCCTTCTTTCGACCTCCATAATCGCCTCTTTACCCCTTTCCACCACCGCCAATCCATTTTCACCCTTCCCAACCGGCCTCCTCTCCCTTTCCCCCTCACCTCCCCGTCCCACACCCCCCCCATCCTCAGCCTCTCCCCCCACCACCCCCCCTTCTCCCCATACACTTTCCCCAACATCTCCCCCCAATATCTCCCCCACTCCGCCCATGTCCAACCCACCGTCTCCCCCCTCCATTTCCCCCACACCCCCTCCTTCCGCGATCCTGCCCGCACCATTGGGCAGCTGCGAAAGGCTCTGGGGCAGCCCGTGCCGGTCCACAAAACTTTCGTCTACCCGCACGGGGCGGCATCCCCGGGCATTACAGACCACGGACATGCCGTTCGCGCCCACATCAACGCTGGTGAAGCCCTCTCCGTCCTCTGCTCGAAACAGGTACTGCCCCGGCCCCTTGCCCTTCACCACTCGCCCCGCACACACCGACCCCACGCCTGCTGCACCGCCCGATATGCCATCCTCTGCCATACCTCCTCCTGCAGTACCTCCCCTAGCTGATGCTGCCAGGGATGAGCCGCCCGCTTCACCTGCTGTCCCGCCTGCCGTCGGCTGCGCTGATGCCTGCCACACACCAGCACCCCTCTCTCTGCTGCTGCCTCCTACAGTCTCTTCCCGCTCCTCCTCTCCCTTCTCCCCTTCCCCCACCTCATCCTGTTGCTGCTGCACGCCCTGAAAGCCTCCATGGCCGTCATTCTGCGCACCTCTCTGCGAAACTTCTTGCAAAATAACCAGGGTATCTTTTCTTCCCTTGTTCAAGTCCGTGGCTTTCGTCTCGACCGCTTCACTCAGCAGCCTCTCTGCGCTACTCTCTTCCTCCCCACCCCTACCTCCGCCCTCCGCCTCCCTCTCTGGCCCGTCTCTCCCCCCGCCGCTCTCCGCTACCCCTCCCCCCAGCGCCCGTCGGTTCGCCCTACCCGCAAACCCATTCCCCGAGGCAATCCCCGCAGCAATCCCCGTGGCAGCGCATCCAACGGACTCAGACGCATCAACAGCAGCAGAAGCACTAGCGGCAGCACGGATAATACCAGCAGCGCTACCACCAGCGTTACCAGCATCCCCAGCGTCAGCCCGTGCCAATCCCCCGCCTCTGCTGCTCCACACAGCACCAGCCCCGGGCATTTCTTCTCTCCCCTTGCTACCACCCGCCCAGCGCCTCTCCTGCTCTCTCCCTCCTTCCCTTCCTTCCCTCTCCCTCCCAATCGCCCTCTCCTCGCTCGTCGCTCTCTTCCCCTTGCCTCTCCTCCTGCGTCGTTTCCCAACCACCACCGGCTCGTTCGGGGAAGCTTCTCGCTCCGCAGCTCCCGCCGGGATGCCCGCGCGCTGAATAGGGCACACGCGCGTGCGCCGTACGATGGCGTAATTGGGTCCCTGCAGATCGAGGCCCTCTACGCGCCACGGGTCGTGCATCACCTCTAATACTCCCGACCCTAACGTTTCTTCACCTGCCGCGCCTAACACCCCGCACGAAACGCCTAACGCCTCACCCAAACCGTCAACTGAACCGTCGACTGAACCGTCGACTGAAACGTCGGCGGAAGCTTCGTCTACCTCGACAGCACCATCCTCCTCATCATCATCATCACTACCATGACCATAATCATCGTCGTCGCCTGCTGCAGCGCCGCGACTGGCGCTGGTATCCGTTCGCCGCGGCTTGCTCGCCGCGTTCTGCGGGGGCCTAAGGCCACGGGCGGCCGTTTCAACGCCACTAAAGCTCCCACTCGCTGCGGCACCAGCGGCAGCGGCAGCGGCGGAGCTCGTTTCCAAAACGACGCCGCCGTCAGCGGCGCCCCCGCCGGCGGCGCTGGCAGAGGCGTAGGTGTCACTGCTGGAGCAGTTGCTGCTGCTGCTGCTCTCCGCTCTCCGCGCATCACCATCGCCATGGCCGCTCGCCATGGCGGCACCAGAGCTGCTGCCGCCATTGTCGCTTCGTCGCCTCTGACACGACGACGGCGACAATGCCGACCCCCCGCCGCCACTCGCAAGACCGCCGCCTTTTCTCCTCCCAGGTTTCCTGTCGTAACCACCCGCAGCCACATACCCGCCGCCGCCGCCGCCGCTCGGTGGCGAACGCGTCGACCCTCCCCCGCCAGCATTGGTATGTAACGAAGACGCTGACAACGGCACCACGGCGGTTGTTTTCACGTTGCGGAAAGCAGCAGCTGAACGGTCGCTTGGGCCGTTGCGCCGACCGTCTTGACGGCCGGTCGGCCGTTTCCCGGCTTTTCCGGAAGGCGAGGACGAGGGGAGCGAAGCGCGTGAAGCGGAAAGCGACGCGGACAGCGACGACGCGGAGACTGCGGGCAGAACAGGTGCGATGTCTGGACGACTTGTCTCGAAACGTCTGCGAAACGGCTTTAAATGCCGCGAGTCGCGGATTTCTTCCCGAAAACTGGCTTCGGGGGGGAAATGGAGCGAGAGAGGGCGCGCCACGGGTGCAGCCATGGACACTGGGGGGGGCGGTTAATTAGACGGGTGTTGGATAAGTAGCGCCAACGCAAGCCAACGCGGGTGTCGTTCCCCGCTCGTCCCTCCTCTCGCAACTCCCTCTCTTCCAACTGCTACTTGGTATCCAGGAACCGTTAGCTTCTATCTGCTATGTCTGCTTCAGCAACTCGCTTCGTTCTTTGTTTTCCTTCTGGCCGAATGACTCGAAGGCCGAATGACTTCAAGGCCCAATGCTTGAGCTATGTCTACTGCAACGCCGAATCGCTTCAGGGTGGCTCAACAACGAGCCTAAGGCCGCCAGGGTGCGGAGTAATAGCCGCAATTCACGACAGGCTCATACACATGAACAGTCTGCGGTTTGAAGGGAATACCAAAGTAGAAAAGGAAAAGGAACTGTCGCTGAAGGGCTTGGAATGCCGTTGGTCCCCTCCGTTGTTGGTCCCCTCCGTTCAGTGGTAGGGACTACTGCGAAGGCATCCTAGGCTAACTTAGGGAGCTATGAGAGCAGGTGAGGAGGGAGCGGGTAGACCTATCCACTAGAGTAGGAGAGGAGGAACTGTTGGTTCTTGAGGTTCTGTTGCGAATGAAAGGGGACGAAATTCCGGCAACAGTGTCAAAAACGGAAGTAGGAAGGGCAGAGAGGCTGGTGCTGCTGGCAGGGACAAACTACTGTACGAGACGACGCGCACCACACCGATGCGTAAAAGCGGAACTGGACGACAGAGCAGAAAAATACTGGCCTCTTTTCGAGTTGTTCGTAGCTCTCCTCACTTTTCTAGCGTTTCAATCGAGGGCATGGCTAGTGCTGTACCCATCCACACCTCACACCCTAGCACTGACTGAATACTATATCAGCGCTTTCCTTGGAATTTGCAGGGTATTCGTTCGGTATTGGAATCTGTAGGCTGCTACAATAGACGTTTTGAACGCTCTCTCGAATATCTGCGAATCCGTCACAAAATACGGCAGGTCAATCTGTTACGATCCCATCCCAGCCCAACAAAGCATAGACTAGTCGACACGTGACTTGGCAGAGGGATGTCGTCTGTCTTTCCCTCCAAAACTCGTCTCGTCAAGGTGCCCTGGAAAATCAGGAAAACTCGCGAAGGTTCGTGTAGCAGATTTGGACAGGCGAACAGAGGAAACCACCTAAGCGAATTTCTGCGAAGGACGTCACGATCAAAGCGGCTCTCCCGCAGATGTGCCCACCTGCTTGGAGCAAAAATATCCATGGTACACCACAAGCTGGCGACCACAAGCTGGCGCCCACCGCGCTCAGACCAAGTGTTCCCAGGCCAAAGCTGGCGACGATGACGACACAAACCACAACTAGAGAACTCGGTAACATGAAACTACATTGACTAAACTCTTAATATTAGAGAGCCTCTATACACACTGGCAATTCAAGGGAAGCATGTAATACGGACTTGTCAGCTTGACAATGTGCGGAACAAGTAACAGCAGTGATGGTATAACCATGGGCAACAGATAAGTGAGACACTAGTTTATAGTTCAAGGAGGCGACATGCCGCCCGCACCAGCAGCTCGGACAAAACTTTCCAAAATTGGCCCAACCTGAGAACGCAAGCAACAAGAGGATAACAAGGGAACACACGCCAAGGCGCGGGCAGAAAAAAACAAACATTAACGGGGTGAGGGAACGACGAAGAAAGTGGGGGGAGAGCGATAGGGAAGTAAAACTAGACCAAACGGAGGGAAAACCTTCTTGGGAGCTCTCGGTACCTCTGCATCGTTGAGAAATGTGTAAATGGCATGCGGGTTGTCCTGCATGTCACTGATTGCTGCTCCACGACGCACACACATGAAGGGGGGGATGGAATGGAACGGGAGCAACAATGGAAGAGACCGCGGAGGACAGAAACCACTCAAGAACAAATCCATTATGAAAACCTACACAGTATTGATGTGCAGAACTCATGAAAATGCCTAAAGCAACAGCCAGACCCCTCGCAGCCCCCTCTTCCCCCCCCCATCTCTCTTTCTCCCCCTGCTCCCCCCTTTTCTCCCTCCCCCAGTTGGCATGAACCCTGTCACACATGAACTCACCCTGCCGAACCCGCGGATTAGTCAGCCCGTGGCGAAGCATCTCATTGGCCATGGCCCACAAAGCAGCCCCTTCAACATCCATCGCCTCCTCCTCCCCTCCCTCCCCACCCTCCACATCACCCCCAAAGGGGTCCCTTGCTTCGTGCAGAGGCAGCGAGGAAGAGGAGGAGAGGTGAGAAGGAGAGGTAGAGGAGGACGCGCCCATGATAGTCTGGAGAGCCATCATTCGGTTCCATGCACGCACCGACCGCTCATCCTGAGGCCACCACAGCAGGTCGATGATGATGGGGAAAATACAGCGTGGAGGGGGAGGGAGGAGAAGGGAAGACTACAGATGAGAACGGATGCGACTTGGGCTCAACGGAGTGAGAGGACAGGGGGGTTGGCAGCGGGGAAAGCGGGCGGCGGTTTTCTTTGAAAGCCAGGCCGCTTAATGATAACCCATGGTATGGTACAGCTGGAGTGTAGATGTGTGATGAGGTAATGATACCGCCTGCCACTCACATGCATGCCTGCAATCTGAGCCCATGCCTCTCTCAACTCCGCAGGCAGGTCCCCCTGTAACGGCGCCTGAGTGCCCCCTAACGCAGATGCCTCCCCTGTCCCTGCACGCACCCCCCCTTGCACTGCTGCTGCTTCTGCTGCTGCTGCTGCAACAGCCATGGGTACATCCCCTCCTGCTGCTGCCCCTGGAGCTGCTCCTGCTCCTGCTGCTCCTGCTGCTGCTGCTGCTACTCCCGCCTCGCCACTCACCCCTGAGCCCATCATCCCTCCACTTGCTGCCACTGCTGCAGAGGAAGAAGGTGGATCCATTTCGGCTGCCTCTCCTGATCCGACAGCAAGCAAGCCTTCTTCGCTATCCCCGGATGCTACCCCAGCACCCTCACCACCAGCACCAGCAGCACCACCAGCAGCACCACTGTCAGCAGCACCAGTAGCACCAGCGTCAGCTCCTGCACCACCAGCACTTACAGAAACCCCTGTGCCATCCCCACTGGCAAGACCTCCTGCTGCCGCCCTCCTTCCTCCTTCATCCCCTCCTCCCGCCCCTTCTCCAGCCCCCCCTGCACCTGCTGCTCCAGCTGACCCTGCTTCTCCTGCTGCACCTCCCCCACCCCCTTCCCCACCCCGTCCCCCCGGCCCAGCAGGTGCAGCAAGTGCATCAGCAGCAGCGGCGGATTCTGCCTGCAGCGCCTGCTCCTCCGCGTCTGGGTTTTCTATCAGCCACTCTATCGCTGCTGCCACTCGGTTGCTGCTCGCAGCACCGGCATGGTTGCAGGCAGTGGCGCGGGCAAAGAAGTGGGGCGGAAGGGAAGAGAGGATGGAGAGGAGGATTGGGAACATCATGTGGGCGGGAGGGATCAGGGATGGCATGCGTGAGGCGATGTTGGAGTGGGGAGAGAGGCAGGGTGGGGGGAGCGAACGAAGGGTACATGAGCAGACGGATCATGCATGCAAATCAAACCAGTATAAGAACCCGATTGCGGATGATGGCTACGAGATAACCTTGCAGGCACCCAGGCTGACGCATGCATGGGTTGTGCGTGGTGCAAGCAAAGGCGGGCGGGTGGGCGGGTGGGCGGGAGGGAGCGAGGGAGGGAGCAGCACTGACCGGTGCAGCTGCAGGGCATGGCGGGCCATGAGGCGCGGGAATCCCATCTCTGCCAGGCGATCCACCAGCACCGGATCTGCCACCACGCGCACCCGCTGCTGCTCGGGGCGATAAGGGAGGCCCGGGCCGGGGGGTGTGTTAGGGGGGGGAGAGAGAGGGGGAGGGGAGGATGGGTTTGATTCTGAGGCACTTCAAGAACAGACACCAGCAAGGGTCTGCCACCACCCCCACCCGCTGCTGCTGGGGGCGATAGGGGAAGCAGGGATGGGAAGGGGGGAAGTGTTGTTCAGGGGGGGGAGGGGGCAAATGGGCCTGTTTTATTAGGGACCAGCACCGGATCTGCCACCACGAGAACACGCTGCTGCTGGGCCGGGGAGCGTGGACATGGAGGGGCGAGATGGAGGGGCGAGATGGAAAAGGGGGGAAATGGAGGCCAGAAAGGGGTGCCAAATGGGGAACTAGCAGGAGGACTGTTTGACAGGGAACGTGAGGGGGATTACAGAACAAGAGAGAAAGCGAAGCGGGTGGTGTGTGAGAGAGAGGGAGAGGTAGACGTACAGGCAAGGCAGGGTGGATCCAGGGGATGGATAGATAGATGGAGGGGTGGATGGAAATTGGGTTTGCTGTTTGATGCTTACAGCAGCAGCTATAGCAGCAGCGGCGGCAGCGGCTGTGGTGGTATGCAATCCAAGCCCGGTGGAGGCAGCAGCAGCAGGAGGAGGAGGAGGCAGAGGGACGCCTCTCCTCGCGCACTCTGCTTCAATGGCCCGGTCTATGCTCTCCGTCGTTGGAATCACCTCTCCTCCTGCTGCTGCTGCTGCTGCTGCTGTCTCTGCGGACGAATCAGGAGCTGCCAGCTGGCATGGTGTTGGGGCCCGGATGCGGGTGATAACGAGAGTGTCTGCATACCGCGGGGAGGGACGGGAGGGGGGGAGGGGGAAGAGGGGGAGGGGAGGGTATGGGGGGGGAAGGGAGGGGGAAGAGGTGGGGTGGAGGGAAGGGGGGAGAAGGCGAATGGCACACGACGGAGGAGAAAGGGGGGGGGATGGCTTGATTGGAGTGTAACGTTTAGGAAGGTAAATGCGGGACTGAAGGGGGGGACTGGATCAGACAGGATGGATGGACGAGAAGCAAGCAAGGCATGTGAGATTGAAAATTCTCCCATGCACACATCAGCACACCACAATGGTCTCTCCACCTAAAACGGTTTTTTTCAGTGGAGGAGAGCTTTGCCATTGCGGTTTGTTTTTTCGGTTGTGTCCTGAAACGAGTCATCACTAGGACGATCCGGGCTTGATTTAATCGAACTCTCGTCCCTACACGCCCAAACCCCAACCCCAGCACTGCAACCCCGCTCACCTACCCTGCAATCTGTATCACATCGCAGTCCATGTTTTTTAACCGCCATTCTCGCCATGCGCATACTCACCGCCGCTATCCACACCACACTCTCCAACTGTTAGAAGCTTCGACGAAAGGACCTTAGGCCGACTTTCCCCACCCCCCCCCAGGAAACCACTCGCTTCCGCCACCTCCTTCCCGCTCGTCCGCCTCTCTTCCGCCGATGCCCCCGCGGCTTCTCCCGAACGGCCAGCCGCCGGGGGGGCCGCGGAGAAAGGGACGTGGATAAGGCGCACGTCCCGCGCGGGGAGGTTGGGGGGGATGAGCCCGCGGGTTTGCAGCTCAGCGCGCAGCTTGTGGATGGTGATGCCACGTGGCACGCGCACGGGCTGCACCGCGCCGTTCAGCAAGCGCACGCGCAAATCCATGGTCGATGCCGCCTGCGCCTGCGCTTGCGGTTGCGATTGCGGCTGCGCTTGCACTTGCGCAGTTAGCTGATCGGCGGAGATCTGTTGCGGTGGTGTAGGAGAGGCGGAGGAAGCGGGGAGGTGGGCGTGCGAATGCGGAAAATTCTCCGCATGGTTCGTCATGGCGGGATCGAAGGCAACGAGCGAGGATGCGTGTGGAGCGCGTATCAGACGATGCGACTAAATTTCGCACGAGGCATGCTCCTAACGATTTGTGTCACAGTTCCGTCTCGTGAGGCGGTGAGATCTAGGAAAGGAGGGGCTAAAACCGGTTTTCCATTGTCCAGGGTTATTTAGGTTCTTAAAAAGGAATGGCTCGAATAGCGTGCGAGGCAAAGGGGGGAGAGACGAACGACCGATCAACCGGCGGCGGGGACGCGTCGGCTTGTTGGTAAGGAATCATCCGAGCGATGGAAGAGGAGGAGGAGCTATGACCCGTTATGTGCCAAGATGAGAAATCCTGCAAGAATGCGTGATGCGGGCTATGCAATTGGTCCGTTATTTCTAGGTATGTTGATATGGGACATGCTGCGGTGAACGCGAACGCGATGCTTGCGGTACTAAAATAGATGGTGCTGACACAAAAACGGCGATGCGTAATGATGACTAGATACGTCACGGGTAGGTGCTTTGTTCATGGTGCTAGGCTCGCTAATCGCCAGCGCCATGCACTGCGATGCGACGCGACCTGCAAGTTCGTCAGTCAAGCCCGTTTTGAGGGATTGTCCTATGGCGTGGGCCAGCAGACAACCCAGGATTTCATGAACACGTACGCGTTAGAGAAATCGCGTTATGAGTGAGTGTTAGTGATAACGGATTCGCAGTAGAGAAGTCCCGCTCAGTCCACACAAGGAAACTCATCCCTTCGCATACAATCATTGCCACGCCCTCCCTCCCCAGTACAGTCACAAATTACTCGTGGCGAACTCACGAAGGCTAGCTCTTGTCTGTCACCCGAAAAGTAGCGTTGCAGCATCACATGCTGGAGTCGGACTCCAGCATCACATTTTCTGTAGAGTAGAGCATACGAAAACATAAACTACTTACACGCGATGCTCGTTTGAATAACCCAAGATTGCCTTGTGAAAAGAGCTTTTAAGTTGTTCTAAATATTTCGCGAATCTCGTCAACGTCGCACCTAGCAAAAAGGGGCTTATAAAAAACTTGTAACTCCCCGTTGACATTTTGACTTCGGTCTCTTCTGTGTGACTTCGGTTTCTGTGGTTCGTTTTGGTTCATAGCCACTGCAAGTGCAACTTGCTGGTAAAAAAAACACGGGTGCAGACTTTCTATTTTTGGCAGGGCAAATTCGCGCGCAGGGGCTGAGCATCTTCTGTACAGCATTTTCAAGGTCTTGTCTCCCAGCAAAGTCGGTAGAACTGTACAGTACATCCACAGTCCATGCCGCCAACAATTTCCGCCGCTCCAAAACTTCCCCCAATTCCTCCCCCAGTCCCCGCGCATCAGCTCCGCTCCCCGCAGTTTCTTCCGCCGCCCATCTCCCCGCACCCAGCACAACTGCCCTCCTGCTCTGCCAGGCAACTCTCCCGATCTTTCTGTTTAGTCTCATCTCGTCTTGTCCTTCACTCGTTTTCCAACGACGCACGCGCAGTCAGGAGTTCTTTATTCGGCCACCACATCATGCTGGCCCAGTAGTTTATTCGGCCGGCTGTTCCCGACGGCTGCAGTACACTATACCCGTCCAACTCGCCCGAGTTTCTCTCAAATTTCCATCTTCTATCGAGACGTGCATAACCGCTCCGCAAATCCACCACGGTGCCTCCAGTTTCATTTTGCGATCGGCTACAATGAGTACCGAGGACGCGCCTTCCCTTCGCGACCTTCCGGATGACGTTATTCTTGTCATTCTGAATCAAGTCGGCGATGTCAAGTGTAAGCTTCACGGAATCGTTGCCGTAACATGCCTTTCACGCGCCGTTTTCACTTGCACACCCAATCTCCCGTGCTTTTCACTCTCCACCCGCTCCCCGGTTTGCCGCTCACCCCGCGCTTTCCTCATACAAGTTACACCGTCGCTCTTTACAATTCCCCGGCCGTCCCATGCAGCGCTCGGGGCGTGCGCTGCATCTTGCCGTCGGCTGCGCGCCTGTGTGCCACGTGTCAGCACGGCAGTGGTATCCGTCGACAATCTTCTAAAGGCGGGAGCGGCGGCGGACACTACAGGACCCGCGTCTGCCTCTTCCTCTTCGTCTTCTTCTTCGTCCTCCGCGTCTTCCTCGGCCGGGAAGGGCAAAGCCATGACTCAGCTGAAGAGCGCCATGGCCAGCCTTCTGCGATCGTTCCAGGTGGGGGAACGAGAAGCGCGAGCGTGCGCACTCTCTCTCCCTCTCTCTCTCTCATTGGTTACAGTGTAACTTGATTCTTTGTGATTTTTGCGCCAGCGCCTCGCTTGTTGCTCAATGGCAGAGCTTTGAGACGCGTCTCTAGGCTTAGTCTTCGGCTGTTCACTTCCATTTAAGACACTCTGCTGACCGCCGCTGCGCTGCGGTCTCATGCTCTCTCCCTGCATGCTCGTGTTTCTCCGTGCCTCCCTCGCGTCATTGCGAGCAGCAGCAGCAGCAGCAGCGGGAGGACGACGAGGGGAGCAGCAGCGGATCGGACCACTCGTCTCAGCTGGCACAGAGCGGGCGGGACGGGCGCGGCGGGCGGGGTAGTGTCGTGCAAGTACAGCAGCAGCGGCAGCAGCAGTGCTTCGATGTGGAGGACGTGGTGCGGCGCTTTCCCATGCTCCAGGAGCTGCTCATCGTGCTCCCAGGTCCCGCCCTCGCCTCCCCCATCCCGCTGTCTCTCCATCTCCTCCCTCCCCCATCCCATCCGTCTCACCCTCCCCACCTTCTTCTCCCCACCTTCTGCTCCAGGAGCTGCTCATCGTGCTCCCAGATTCCCCTCGCACCCCCCACCCCCCTTCCTTTCTATCCCTCTCGCCGATCTTAACCCGCTCACCCTCCCCCCATTTCTCTCCCACCCCCTTCCCGTCCCCTCCCACTCCACCTTCCCCTCCGCCCCCGTCATTCCCCCTCGCCCATCCTCTCGTCCGCGTCCTGTGTGCCTTCAACTCCTGCATCTATCCCATTTCTTTCATCCCTTCCCTCCCTCCCTCCCCTCCGTTCCCTCTCTTCCCTCCATTCCCTCTCCCTGCGTCCCTTTCGTCCGTGCGTGCAACTGTGCCATGCCATCCCATCTCAGACTGCGAGTTCTCGTTTGACAAAGAGGCGACGACGCTGCATTGGTACGCGGATTCAGTTTTTGAGGCGCCTCAAAGCTTGCATCCCTTCTCTGTGTCCCTTTCGTCCGTGCGTGCAACTCTGCCATCCCATCCCATCCCAGACTGCGAGTTCTCGCTAGACAGAGAAGCATCGCTGCATTGGTACGCGGACTTCAACGAAACCCTCTCCTCCTGCGCCATCGTTGCAGCTGACTCCATCTCCCTCCTCTCCCACCCCACCCCCATCCCTCACCTTTCCTCCCCAACGTCTTCCACCCCTACCCCATCCGCCTCCCCTCCTCCTTCCACTCCTCCTGCTTCTCACTCTCCTCCTCCTTCCACTCCACCTGCTCCCCCTTCTCCCGCTCCTCCTCCTCCTCCGCCTCTCTCGTGCCCCCACCAAGATACATCCATGTCAAACCGCCGACCTTCACGTGTCCCCTCTCTCTCTCGCTCCTCCTCCTCACAAACCCCTCTCTGGGCGCCCCTGTGGGACTGGATGTCAGCTGCTGGCACGTCTTCTTCACCTAGACAAGGCACCACCACTGCTTCCAGCACATCCCACCAGCAAGCCACCGCCACGCACACCTCTCCCTCCACTTCTCCAGACTCCACCTCGCCCTCTCATCCCCCCCAGCACTGCAATGGGACCTCTCCACTGTCTCCCTGCCACGAGAACGCGCAGGGAGACGCTGTTTCAGCGGGAAGACGGATGGGGAACAGGCAGCAGCGTGGGGCCGACCGCGGGAAAGGACGGGACAAGGGCAAGGGGAAAGAGAAGGTGGAGCTTAGGAGTGACTCTTCGGTGGATTCTGGTGATAGAGGGAACGCAGGGCAGTTGGAGCAGCAGCAGGGCGGGTGCATTGTGGCCAGACTGGGCTTTTCCCGGGTGGTGGACATTACAGATTCCTCCCAGCAGCCTAATCGGAACGAGCGTCCGGCCGTTGGGATGCCACCACCTGTCCCACCTCGCTCTCTCGCCTCCATGACTCGCTTGCTGGCTGCTAGTAGGGGCCGTGCGGCTGCTTTAGTTCATGGTGCAAGTCGCAGTGACAAAGGCAGAGGCAGTGGGAGCGGGGGCGGCAGTGGGAGCGGGAGCAGCAGTGGCAGTGGTGGCGGCATCAACGGGAATGGACCTAGTCACACACAGATGTGCATTGGCAGCAGCGCTGCCAGTGGCACAGACACAGCTGCTCCTGCCCAGTCTAGTGGAAGCACTGCAGCAGGCAGTGAGGAGAGGAGCAGCACCAACGACAGCAGTGACCTTAGCACCAGCAACAGTGAGTTTAACAACCCTGGTGCCTCTGCAAGTGGTGACACTGTTAGCGGTGGCAGAGGGAATGGAGGCACTACCTGCATGGATAGCCGTTACTCGGATCACAACAGGCCAACTGACCTCGTAGAAGCCCTCCGAAGGAGTACTGCCAACGCCAGTGACAGGGGAGCTGGGTCTTCCTCTGGTAGTAGCAACACTAACACTGCAGGTCACTGTGTCCATCAGAGTGCTTTTGCTGATGACTGCAGCAAGGGCAATGGAGGTGCTGATAACCAGAGCGGGAGCCTTTCCTCTGGTCGCTCTGCTTGCGATACAAGCCGTCGGAGCAACTCCAGCGAAAGCGGCGGCAGGAGTAGCAACAGTGGGAGCAGTAGTTTCACCAACCATCGCCCTCCTTTTCTTACTCAAGTGCATGCTGCTTCATCCACAGCCCCAAGCCCAGGCCCATCACGGCGCCCATCACCATATCCCCATTCCACCCCCTCTCTACCATCCGCTTCAATCCGATATCCAGCCCCAACGTCCCCCACGTCGTCCTGCTTCCCCACCTCATCTACCCGGCGTCAACCGTTCCGCCCTCCCCCCATTCGCCTGACGCCAAACGGCCTTAAGGAGCGCATTGCATGGACCATCAGTGCTGCTGTGGCGGCATCGGCTCGCCATGAGCTGCTGAGGCGCATTGCAAGGCAGCTGCCAGAGCTGAGGCAGGTGGCCATTGCAGACATGCAAGGCCAGGGCAGCCTCTCTCTTGGTCCTGAACAGGTATGATGATGAGAAAGAGGATGGAGCGTTTATTTTGTGTGTGATCTAAATTTGTGGCTAATTTTGTCCAATGCTTCGTTTATCCTTGTGTTGCAGTTGGCCTGCTTACGCAGAGCTGAAGCGGAGAATGTATCTGGGGAGCATTCCAACGCCTATTCCCCTCGAACCCCGCTTCCGACGCTCAAGATGCTTCTGTGGCACGCACCTTCACTGTCAGTGGGTGATATGGAGCTCACAGGTGCCACCCTAGTCATCTTGCGGAATGAAGCATTGAAGGTCGCGAAAGCTGGTGGTGAGCTGGAAGGGAGCTTGGACTCTGGCACTGCTGACAGCCTACACAGTTCCTCGCAAGATCAGATGGGTGGATTGGAGTGCCGGGGTGAGATTGCGGAGAGGAGAGATGCAGAGCAGTGCCTACAATCGCTTTTGGCATCGTCCGATCCACTTCTTCATGCAAGTTTGGAGCTGTTGCAGCTTTCTCAGACTCAGCGGTTTGAATTTAGTGCCTTTTAGTTACTATCAAGTCTGCCTTGATGCTGACATGACACGGCAATGTATGTAATGAGTCTACAGTTAAATGCAGCCTTCAGTTTATGACCTAAGCGGAAGATACGCAAGCTCCTCATCCAGCTTCTTTCGAAGCGTTTTAGCTATGCGAAACTTTGTGTTCACACTTTTCAGCAGCTCGTCCAGTATACCCTCCAGTACTCGAAGGCGCCCTTCAAGCTGAGACGAAAACGCAGTTACCATCAGTGGTTTAATCTCACTGCCTGGGCATTGTCATGCAAGTTGATGTGCAAACTATGCTCACCTCCGCAAGTCCTTTGGAAAACGGGTCTGCAAAGAAGTCCAGCTGTGTGTAGGCAACCACTGACTCCTCTGCTTTCGCAGCATCTTTTCTTTTCTCGTTTAACTCCGCTTCAGCCTGGCTTATTTCGTGCTTCTGTACACGTTTGAATCCAAAGCTTGCAACACCTGTCAGAGTATGTGATGGGTTAGATAAAGGGCAACTGTGAAGCAAAGTGCTGCTAAGAATGCGACTTACTGTACCTCCAACGCAACCTGTAGCAGTAGCTCCCACAGCAGTAGCTGTTGCACCATACAAAATCAATGGAAATAACGTAAGGACACCGCAGCCAGCCAAAGCGAATGTAAGAACAGCGTCCACTGATTCCCCTGTGGCTATTTCCTGTTAACAAAAAAGCAGAGAGAGTGAGCACATGTGGAAGAGGGATTCAACCAGTGCAGCATCTAACAACGAATTACCTTCGCTTTCTGATCGCAGCTATGTTCTAAGTCTTTCTTCATCTTGGATTGCTCGTCTCTACCGGAACATATATTCAGATGAAGATTCTTCGCATCCATGTTAACACTATCAGAAACTTCGAGTAATTTTCTCAGCTCCTCCAAGGTCTCGCCACCAATGGCACTGAAATCTTCCAGCTCCTGACCACCTGGGGAAGCAGCGTGCCATTAGCTCAACGAACATTATCTTCAAAGAACCGCCGGAAGAAAAAAATGGGCAATAGCTTACTAGGTGCTTCGAGTTCCGGCAGTGCCTGCAACTTCTCTTGAATACGCAAGCACCCTGTCGACAGCTTCAACTTGTATGCTGCACACAGTTTCGCCGCATCTAGGCAAACCTGTCGAACTCCATCGTTTTCATGGACGACCAGGTCTCTCGCACAATTCTCAAGGTCGGAACACTTTGATTTGCAAAAAACAAGCAGGTCGCTCATTACAGAAACGCGAGAAGCCATGGCCGACAAACACTAAAGAGGGACGACAGCTCGTCTTCAAAGCAACACCGTGAAAGAATGCGAGCATTTAGGCAGAAACATGCTTGCTGTTCTGAATCTTAATCCCCCATTGTAGCTTATTTCTGATGACGTTCACAACGACTGAGTGGCTAGAGAAGTTCTGCCTCGATTGTGTCGATGGTTGACTGGGCAGGGAGGTCTGCATGTCTCAGCAATCGTGATTATGTCAATGTCGAGTGACCGCCCAGACAGCGCCTCGACAGTACTCAGCAAAAACAGCCTCACTAAAAGAGAGTTTCACTCCTCTCGAACCCTTCCATCTAAACAAACCCAGTCTCTTTTGTTTACAGATATTGCTGAGGAGAAAGCAAATTAGTCATGCACAGTTTGTCTTAAACACAGCCTTTTGCATGGCCTGGGAATAAAATACGTTTCTCTATATACTATTTCTCATACGGCCAAATAATGTATCTGTTTTTTTTCATATAGTTATCATGAGGAATAAAACTACTAGTAAGAGATTATGATATAGAGAAAATACAAACTCTATTACATAGACTGTTCGGGAATACAAGATCGCGCTGTTCATTGTCACGCTTTTACTTGTACCACGTGTACAGCGATGCCACGCTTCATCGTACGTTTCTGACGTGGTGCTGCGTGTTTCCACACCTTGTGCTGGCAAAATGTTGCCCGTAATGTTTTGGGGAAAGACGGCAAGTTGATATTTACGAAACTGTTTCTAATATTCGAGTGGATGACCAGCATATTCTTGGCATGATAACTGAACTCCAAAATTAGTTTTGTTCTCTGCATCAGATATTGGACTCGTTTCGGTCAACTCCTGATGACACGTCACGTCAGGTACACTAGCAAAGGGGGGCGGAATGGAAGTCGCACGCTGGCGGACAAAGTGACTGGCGGACGAGTACCTTGCACCTTGCTGGCGGGGCAATTTCGTTCAGAGGGGCACATTGTCAAATTGGAAATGCAGTAGGCAAGTCATCGGTTCAAGAATAGCAGGCAGCATTCGTCCACCACACAACACGCGAAGCGAAGACCCCACATACTCGAGCTTCTTTGTTGCAGTACTGCTTTTTGTTAGTCGCCCAGACATAAGCACGGTACGTGTCCGCTGCCTATGGAGCTTCAAATACCCTGACATCACTTTCGACACAGAATACAAGAATCGCGCTTTTTGTTCTACGTTCGGCCCGCGACGCATTGGTTCACGGAATATTGCCTAACCGTCTTCGTTACGCAACCGCTTGTCGGAAACTTCGCGCAATGGCCGCGTTGACTATCACAGAAACTGTTCTCCGCGGAGGGACCATAGCATCTCCGCGCACTTGCGCAACCTCCGCCACCCGTCCCTTCTACCTTTGCCCTCCTTGTCTCCTGGTACTTCGTTCCCCCCCTGCTCTGCGTGCTTTAACTGGCGGAAACTCAACGCCCGCCTCCATCCGCCGAGCCCGCCTTTTGTCCCCGCACTCTCCGCCCTTCCGCCTCCCCGTCCTCCCCGCGCGCGGGCGGCGGGCGCTGCAACTTCCGCGCGCGGTGGAGTGGATGAGCGACAGCATGCTGCTTGCGCGGAAGGAGCTGGCGCAGCAGCACGCGGCAGAAGGGCCCACGGTGCAAGGCGCGACCATGGCGGTGAATGGGGAGAAGCTGGAAGTGGGGGAGGAAGAGAGCGAGGGCGGGAATATCCGCACTCCCACGACTGAAGCAGTTCTGCTCCAGGTAATGCGGATACAACGGGAGAAGAGGCAGATTGGGTGGATAAGAAGGGCGGTTGAAAAAAGAAAGGGCCCGGAATGTGCTGCTGCTGCTGCTGCTGTACCTTCCACCTCTGTCTAAATCACTTGCTATTAACAGGCCTCACCTTTCCGCTTTCCCCCCGTCCTTCCCCCCGCCGCGGCAGGCGTTCAACTGGGAGAGCTGGCGCGGCGAGAAGCAGTTGTGGTACGACGTGCTGATGGCGCGCGCGGCGGAGATGGCAGCCATGGGCTTCACGGACGTGTGGCTGCCGCCGCCCTCCAAGGCCGTCGATAAACAGGGTGAGGGGGACCGGGGGCAGTGGAGGTGGGGGGAATGTTACAGGCGGACATGGGCTGCGAGGGAAGGGCTGAGAAACGGTGGGTGTTTGGGGGGAATGAATGGGCATTGCTGCATGTAGCATGCGGCGTGGGAAGGGGGATGGGCCATGGCGTGCGAGGCAACTTGCAGGGTGGAGTACGAGTCGCGGGGCAAGTCACGGGGCGCAAACCAGCATCCATGCCACCACCATCTCATGTATCCTACCATGCATTGTCCGCCTCTCCTTTCACTCTTTCTCAACTTGAATCCTACCTTTCTCACTCCTCTCTTCCCCCCCCCCCCCCCCCGCCCACCCCAACTCCCGCCAGGCTACCTGCCATCGCAGCTGTACAACCTAGACGCATCAAAGTACGGCAACGAAGTCCACCTGCGGCGGCTCATCCGCCGTCTCCACTCCGCCCACGTGCGGTGCATGGCGGACATAGTCATCAACCACCGCTGCGGGGACTTCCAGGACGCCCACGGCAACTGGACCATCTTCGAGGGCGGCACCCCCGACGAGCGCCTCGACTGGGGGCCGTGGGCGATTACTGCTGGGGACATGCCGTATGGAGGCGACGGGAAGGCGGACACGGGGGAAGATTACGGCGCGGCGCCGGATATTGATCATACTAACGCGCGCGTGCAGCGGGATTTGATCAACTGGCTGCTGTGGATGAAGCGCGAGGTGGGGTTCGACGGGTGGCGGTTCGACTTCGCCAAGGGCTACGGCGCGGAGTTTGTGGGGAAGTATTGCCGCGCGACAGAACCCACTCTGGCGGTGGGGGAGGTGTGGACGGCGATGAGATACGACGGGGATGGGCAGTTGGCGTGGAGCCAGGACGCGCATAGACAGGCGCTGGTGGACTGGGTGGACGGCACGGGGGGCGTGTGTGCCGCGTTTGACTTCACTACCAAGGGGATTCTGCAGCAGGCCGTGCAGGGGCAGCTGTGGCGGCTTAAGGATGGGAGTGGGAAGCCGCCTGGTGAGCGGGGACCCCGGGGGGAATGTGGGGGGGAGAAGATGGGGGGAGGTGTGCGTGAAGGTGGCCTGAGGCTGTGCTGTGATGTGATGTGATGTGATGTGATGTGATGTGATGTGATGTGATGTGATGTGATGTGATGTGATGTGATGTGATGTGCTGTGATGTGGCATGGGTGGTGCTGGTTACGCTGCTACACATGGTAGTTCTTGCCTTGCGCTGCTGCTTCCCATTCATGCTGTCACTATCTAATCACTTTCCAGCCTAATCACCCCACCCGCTCTCTCCTCTCCTCCTCACCCCCATGGCCCCTCCCTGCCACACCCACTCCCGGGTGCAATGGCTCCGGCAGGCATGATAGGGTACTGGCCGGCGCGAGCAGTGACGTTTATAGACAACCACGACACGGGAAGCACACAGAACTCATGGCCTTTCCCTGCCGACAAGGTCATGCAGGGCTACGCCTACATCCTCACCCACCCCGGCATGCCCTGCGTTGTAAGCTGCTTTCTCTCTCGTCTGCCCCTGCTTCTGCTTCCCCCTCTGCCTCACTTTTGAGGCGCCTCAAAAGTCGTCTGCCCCTGCTTCTGCTTCCCCCTCTGCCTCACCTCATTTTTCCCCCACGCACGTGTACTTGGTTATCCTCTCATTCTCCTCCACGCTCACTGCTGTCAGGTTATTTCATGGCTGCTCTCTCCCGCCGCCTCCCCTCCATCCCACCTTCCTTCAACCCCACCCTCTTTGCTCCATCTCACCGCCACCCCCCCAGTTCTACGACCACGTGTTCCCATGGGGCCTGAAGAAACCCATTCTCGAGCTCATAGCCGCTAGCGCCCAGGGCGCCTGTTGACTCGCTCATATTCATCTGCCTCTCCCCGCTCCCCTTCTTCTCTCTCCTCCCTCGCACCGCCACACCCCCAGTTCTACGACCACGTGTTTACGTGGGGTCTGTAGAGCCAAGGGCGCTGTTTAACTCGCTCATAAACACCTCCCCTCTCCCCACTCCCCCTCTTGTCCTTCCTCCCTCCACCGCCACCTCCCCAGTTCTACGACCACGTGTTCCCATGGGGCCTGAAGAAACCCATTCTCGAGCTCATAGCATTGCGGCAGCGCAATGGTATCAGAGCAGACTCGCCCATCCGCATTCTCGCAGCAGAATCCAACCTATACGTGGCTGAAATCGGCCCAGGGAAGGGAGGGGCAGACAGTGGAGCGGAGGGAGGAGCGGGGAATGGGAGTGTGCGGGCGAGGGGGGGGAAGATAGTGGTGAAGATAGGGTCACAGTTTGATATGGGGAAGCTGCTGCCGAGCAGTAGTGAGTACTCGGTGGCGACGTACGGTGATGGGTACTGTGTGTGGGAGAGTAAGGGTTGAGTGCGCATGCAGAGTGAACGATGGGTGATGGATGGTGTGATGGGTGATGGGTGATGTGTGATGGGTGATGGTGATGTGTGATGGGTGATGGGTGATGTACAATTGTGACGGATGATGATGGGTGGCACTGCTGTGTGGAGGAGCAGATGTGTGTACCGATATGACAGTGAGCTGTAGAGATTTTCTTGTGGGGTGACGTGGAAGGTGGGGTTGGAAAGCGAGGAGGCAAGTGAGTGTGTGCAAGTTTGTGTGTGCGTATTTGATTCGTGTGAATAGAGTGTGTGTGTATGTGGTTTCACGAGTGTGCATGTGTGTGTGTGCATGTGTGTACCCTGTCCCTGCACGTGGTAGTGTCCCTGAGAAAGAGGGCTATGTGGTAGCAAATGTGCAAGGGCGTGACCACATATACCTATGTGCCTGTAGACTGAGCCCAATCGGAGTGGCCAACTAGCCATGCAACACGCCCACTCCACTCCACTCAACTCATCTCCATCCCTCTGGCACACGGGTGCTATTCCACTCTCTGCAACGCTGCATTCTCAACTGAGTATTACCACCGGATGTTGCCAACTATGCTTCGTGTGTGTGTTCCAGCATGTCGAACCATATATATGCTCTGCTCTCCCCTTATCAGATCCTCCTGGTTTGTTTCCTATGAATGGGAATCCTGTTTTGTGCATAGAAGTTGGCTTGTTGAGCTGTGGTCCTCTCTGATATGCTACACCATGCTAACCTTTATATCTCTATGCTATTAGTATGTATATGTATTAACACCACTGCCATGTACTGGTTAACAACAATTGTACACAGACCCACAGGCAGGAACGAAAACCTTGTAGCTCCAGAACCATCCTTACCGGTAAGGAGGTGGGCTAGAGGCATGAAACGAGCTAGAATAGCAGCCACGGGTGACCTGCAGCACGAATGACACAGACACGGAGTAATGGGCAGGGGTCCAGGGGATGGGCAGACGAATGAAGGTGCGGGTCGAGGTGAGGAGAGGAACCACTGCAGGGTGAGGAGGGAAACAGGGCTTGAGGGAAAGGACTGGCGGGTAGCCATTGTGGCACAATGACGAAGGCTGCATTGCTTGCTACAGGGCATTGCACACAGGACTTGCCGAGATGTTTTTGAGACGTCTCAAAAACACCCTCTCGCCATTGTGGCACAATGACGAAGGCTGCACTGCATGCTACAGGTCATTGCACGCAGGACTTGCAGAGTTACAGTCTCATCTCGAGCCGATACTCCGATGCAGGATCTGTTACCCCTCCCCCCCCCCCACCCACCCAGCCCTCCCCACAGCCCTTCTCTCCAGCCTTGTCCCCTTACCATGTCTAGCCTATCAGGCCTTCCCCCTCTCCCATACCCGCCCACTCCCTTCCCCCCGCCCTTCCCCCACCACCCCACGCACCTAGCAGGTCGCTCGCGGTCGGCCGCTCCCCAGCCTGCTTCCTCAGCAGCCGCTTCACCACATCCTTAGCCGCACCCGACACCCCGCGCCACCGCCTACCCTTCAACCCCACGTCCTTCCCCCGCACCGCCGCTACCAGTGCTTCCTGCTCTGCTGCCCAGAAAGGGGGGACTCCTGCCAGCAGCACGTGCAACACGACGCCTGCAGCCCACATGTCGGAGGCGGGGCTGTACTCGCCCTGCCACGCCTCTGGCGCCATGTACTCTGGGGTGCCCACCAGCTCTTGCACTCGCAGCACCTCGCCTGATGGGGAGCGAGGGAAGGGGTGATGGGGGTAGGGCAGGGGGGGAAGGGACATGGATTGGTTGCAGGATGGGAGGTTGTGGGGGAGGATTGAGGGGGTGGACCGGTGGTTGGGAACGAGGGGAGAGGAAGAGTGTGGGACTCCCGCCAGCAGCACGTGCAACACGACGCCTGCAGCCCACATGTCGGAGGCAGGGCTGTACTCGCCCTGCCATGCCTCTGGCGCCATGTACTCGGGGGTGCCTACTAGCTCCTGCACTCGCAGGCTGTCGCCTGGTGGTGGGGAGGATGGGGGTAGGGGAAAGGGTGACCGAAAAGGGGTGAGGGCGGAAAGGGATGTGGGGGAAATGGGAGGAACGGGGAAGGGGAGCTGGAGGCAGGGAATGGCGGATAACGGGAGGTGGATGGATGGCAAGAGGGCTCACCAGGGGAGGGGAGGAAGGAGGCGACGCCAAAGTCGGTGAGCTTGACCGCCCCCGCACACTGCAGAGCCTCCGCAGCAGCTGCACTTCCGGCTGGTGTCACTGCAGCGCTTCCTGACTTTGGACTGTCTGCTTGCACCCCAGCAGCCGCACCAGCACCAGCATCAGCAGCACCACCACTACCAGCGGCAACATCCCGCGCAACGGCCGCCGCAGCAGCAGCAGGCTGTGAAGCAAGCAGGATATTCTCGGGCTTCACGTCGCGGTGGACAACCCCCAAGGTGTGGCAGTGGTGCAGCGCGAGCAGCAGATGGCGGAAGATGTGTGCTGCCGTGCGCTCGTGTAAAGGTCCTGTGGCCTTGATTAAGTCGAAGAGATCGCCCCCGTCACACAAATCCATCACCAGATGCACGCTCTGCAATTGGGGGGGGTGGGGGGGAAGGGGAGGGGAAAGGGGGAGGAGGGAAGGAATGGGGTGGGAGAAAGAGGAACGGGCCGTTCGTGGCCTTGATGATGTCAAAGAGGTTGCCACCGTCACAGAGGTCCATCACCAGATGCACGCTCTGGATAGAGGGGAAGGAGGGCGGAAGAAGGGAATGGAAAGGTGAGGAAGCAGGGCAAGAGGGAGGGAATGGTGTGAGCATAGCAGGGAATGGCTGCCTGTGGCCTTGATGAGGTCAAAGAGATCACCGCCGTCACACAAATCCATCACCAGACGCACGCTTACATGGGCAGAGAGGAGTGGGGAGGGGGTGGGGAAAGGGTGGGGAGGGGGTGGGGAGGGGGTGGGAGGAAGACATGGGGGGTGGGGAGAGGGAATGGGGTAGGAGAGAGATAGGTAAGCACATGGATTAAGACCAAATGGGTCACAACCATCTTACACATCACAAAAGCATCCCACCAACCAATCCCTTCCATCTGGCTCACCTTGGCGTCTTCAAAGGCCCCGCGCAGGTGCACGACAGCAGGGTGGCCTCGCACGCGTGCCATGGTGCGCACCTCACTGCGGATGGCCCGTGCATCCCTCTCCGACTGCACGTGCGGGAAGGGGGGGGGTAGGGGGGCGAGGGTGGAGGGGCAGATGGGAGGGGCATGGGAGGAGGGCAAGGCATTAACGCAATTGGTTTTGAGAAATCAGCCCCCCAACACTCCCCCAGCACTCCCCCAGCACCCCCCCAGCACCCCCCCAGCACCCCCCCAGCACCCCCCCAGCAAGCCCCCAGCAAGCCCGCAGCAAGCCCGCAGCAAGCCCGCAGCAACCCCGCAGCAAGCCTGCCGAAGCGGAGTACAAGACACAAGCAAGCCCAAGTACGCACCTGCACGACACCGTCCTTGTGGATGCTCTTGCATGCCAGCACGAGCCCCGTGCTGCGCTCCACACAGGGCCGGATGACGCCAAACTGCCCGCGCCCCACCTCCCGCTGCCCCACCAGGTACCACTCTGTCACGTCGCTGTGCGGCCGCAGCAACACACACGCACTCGCACTCGCACTGCTGCTGCTGCTGCTTGTGGGCTCTGCTGCTGCTGGTGGCGGTTGTGCTTCTTCGCCATGACTGATTTCAGCGCTTGCTTGCTTCTCTTCCATTCCTCCTCCTGCTTCTGCTTCTGCTACTGTTCCTTCAGCTTCTGTTGCTGTTGCTACTGCTGCTGCATCTGCTGCATCTGCAGCTGCTGCTGCTTGTGCGAGGCATCCTGTTTCAACATGGGTTGTTGTCGCCTCCTCTCCCTTTTCACTATGTGCATTCACCACAGCCACACCCTCCTCCCTCTCCTTCGCCTCCATCTCCACATCCTCCCACTCCTTTCTCTCCCTCTCACCATCCCTTGGGCCCATATTTGCCCGGTCTGTATCAAAAGGAGACCCAATCTCGCATCTCCCACTGCCCTTCCCCTGCCCCCCCTGCCCATGTTCTGATACCCGCCCCACCACATCGCTATATTCTGCATCGATTTTTACTGCTTTATGTGCATCTGCTTTACTCCTGCCATCCCCATGTATGTACCATCTCACCCTCCCTTGCGGCTGCTGCTGCTTCCGCACCACCTTCCGCCTCTTCCCCTTCTCCTCCACTTCCCCTTCATCTGACAGCCTTGCGATTACCACCTCCTCTCCCGCTACTCCGCCTCCCTTCTCTCCTCCTCGCTCTTCTCCCACCACTCCACCTGCTATCACGTCTCCCTCGCCTCGCCTACCTCCTTCCACATCACTCTCTACCGCCTTCCCTAGCAGCCTACTGTTGTCTTCCACACGCTCTCTCCTGCCACTCCCGCCTAACCCTCCTCGCACACTCTTCCTCTCTCCCTTCCCTTCCATTCTCCCTTGCACTGCCCCTTCAGCCACCCCTTGCCCTGCTCTTTCTCTTTCTCCTTCTCCCTCTCCTGCTCCTTCTAGTTCGTCCTCCATTTTATCCGCACCTGCACTCCCACTTACAACCCCACACAGCCCTTCCTCCTCCCTCTCACTCACCCCTTTCACCTTCTTCCCGCCCTTGCCTACCCCCTCGCCCACCCTCCCCCAACCCACCCTTCCCACTCCTCCCAACCGTCCAATCTTCTCTAGCACACTCGCGCCCACACGTGCACTCCGCCCCTTATGTCCCCCTCCCAGCCCCATCCTCCCCTGCTTCGTCAAACCCTCCTCTTCCTTCCCTCTTTCCCCATGCTCTCTCATCTGCTCCCCTGTCTCCCCCCCCTGGCACCCCTTGCCCCTTCTCTCCATTCCACCACTCATAACCTCCCGTTCTCTCAAATTTCCAACTCGCCTTTGCTTCGACTTCACAGCAGCAGCAGCAGCAGAAGCAGCAGCAGCATCAGGGGAAGAAGCAGCAGCACCGTCCATGTCAGCTGCAGCATCAAAGCAATCCGCTGCTTCACACGCCACCTGCTGCTCGTGCGCCCCCAGCACTGCACCATGTGGCGACTGCCGGGACTGTGACTTTTGGGAGTGAGACTGCAGCAGGGGAGCAGCAGAGGGCAGCGAGTGCAGGTGCAGCAGGGAGCTATTACTCCTGGGGGGTGTGGAGGAAGAAGCAGAAGCAGAAGCAGAAGCAGAAGCAGAAGCAGAAGCAGAAGCACTGGCAGGCACGGCAGCAGGGGGTTTGGATCGTGAGCGCATCAACGAGTGTGCCTTTTGGAGCATGCGCTGCGGGTGGGACGATGACGAAGCAGTCGAGAAGGATGATGGCGATGCTGCTGATGATGATAATGGTGATGATGATGATGATGGAAATGCTGCTGTTGCTGCTGCTGCTGCTGGTGATGCTTCTGCTGCTGATGCTGATGCTGCCGATGGCGACAAAGATAATGATGAAGGTACACGGTCGCTAGAGACCAACGATGCAAGAGGCGATGACAACGCTGATGATGATGATGATGATACGAGTGATGCTGCCAGTGATGCTGGGAGGGATGGGTGCGACCGTATGCGTCCACCCATGCCCCACCCCGTTCGAGATGTCATCACATGCCTGCTCCCGCTCTCTTTCATTCCCTCCTTCGCCCTCTCGTTCTCCCCTGCCCCTGCCCCTGCCCCTGCCCCTTCTCCTGCCCCTGCCACCACCACTGAGTCACCTTCTTCCAGCATGAACAGCGAGGTGGATTGGTCGGACTGTTCTGCCTCACTGCCGCAGTGTGGTGCATGCTGTGCCGTGCCAACCAGTGCTGCCGCTGACGCTGCACCCACACTCGCCACAGGCACAACTGTCACATCATCCACACCTGGCATGCTGCTCGCCCATTCAGGATAGTGGTGTCTTACTCCTGCATCGGCACTGCAAGAGGCGACACCACCACTATCACCACCAGCAAGGGCGCCAGCGCCGGCGGCGACAGTTGCTTCACTGGCAGAAGCAGCATTGTCACTGCTGCTGCAGCCACTGATGGAAGGAAGCTTTGCTGCAACAAGCATCACCGCATGGTCCGCACCTCCCACATGTTCCCCTGCATCGTCAACTGCATTTTCATGGATGGGGGTCCTAATGCCACCCATAGCCCCTCCATCACCATCTCTCGCTCCTAATGCCACCTGCCTGCCTGCCACCGCGCCACCTGCCCTCCTCCTCCCATCCCCCATCCTCATGCCCGCCCTCCCCACAAGCTGTCCCCTGCCTTCCATTAGGCCCCCACCAGCATCACTAGATACCCCAATTCTCCCTCCTTCTCCTCCTATTGCTCCGGATCCTCCCGCCCTTTCTTCTCCCACATCCCCTCCCGCGTCTCCTCCCGTGCCTCCTCGCTTGCCCGCGCCTCCCCTCCCCCCTGCTGCGCCATTCCATGCACCAGCTCTGATCTGCCGCGGGCTATCCACCAGCTCTACCTGCCCCGCTGCCTTCCACCTCTCCATCCACACACCCCTGCTGCCACCACCACTGCTGCTCCCACCACCACTGCTCTTCCCACCACTGCTGCTGCTGCTGCCGCCACCGCCGCTGCTGCCGCTCACCTTATCCTGCAATGCCTTCTCCCCCGCTTCACTCACCTCCCCTGCCACTGCTCGTCCACCTCCCCTTGCCCATGCCCCTCCACCTTCCCCTCCGCCCCTTCCCCCGAGTCCACACTCATCCATTCCGAATGCTGCACCATCACCTCCCGCCCCTCCACCACCAACAGCCTCTCGTCCCGCTCCTCCCTTCACTCTTCCTCCACCTCCCCCTACCATCCCCGCTCTCTTTTCGTCCACTTCGCCCCTTCTCCCCCCATCTCTCAAGTCTCTCCCCCCACCCTCACCGTCAACCTTACCTGCTGGTGTCTCAGCGCTGTGTGTGTGTATGTTGGGTGTGTGCATGCGCCTGCCTGCATGCCCCACCACGCTGGCAATGGCACGCGCTCTCCACCGCGCTGCTGCTGCCACGGAGCTCAATGCCAGCGACTTGGACCGCCCCCGCGCTGCTATGCTGCTGCCGGGAGGAACACTGCTGCTGCTGCCGCCGCCAGTGTCGCCGCCGCCTCTACTGCTGCTGGTAGTGTTGCGGGTGCTGGTGCTGCTGTCGGAGATACTGTAGCTCTTGCCACTGTCGCCAGTCTCGCCACTGTCGCCAGTCTCGCCACTGTCGCTTCCTCTGCCCCTGCCATACACACCACGCTTGTCACGAGCACCACCACCATCAGCGGCCACTCCAACAAACTCCACGTCCTCCTCCTCGTCACCCTCCCGCACCTTCTTGCTGCTCTCAGAACCCTCCTCCTGCTCCTCTTCCTCTTCCTCTCGCTCTTCTCCCTCCCCTCCCCTCCTCCTCACCACCCTCTCTTGCTTCTGTGTCTCTACCAATCGCCCCATACCCGCTCCCACACCACCACTCTCCCCCTGCTTCCACTGCAGTAACTGCATCCTAACCCCTCCACTCTCCTCCCTGCTCCCTTCCCTTTCCTCCTCTTCCACCGCCCATGCCCTCCCCATCACACCCCCCTCCCTCTGTCCCACCTCCTCCCCCCCTCTCTCAAACACTCTCTCACCCTCGCCACCCCCTTCCCCAATGCTCTCCTCCCTCCCCTCCTTTGACGGAGAGGGGCTAATGGCAAAATTCCGAGCCAATGGGGGCCTGCCACGTGGGCTATCAAAGGCTCGGATGGCAAACTGTGGCGTGACAGGGCAACTACCAGTTGCAATCCACCTCCCACCACCAAGCATACCCTCCAACCCACCACCGCTGCTCATACTCCCACCCATGCCGCCGCCCACGCCACTACCATCCAAAGAACCATCCACATGCCCTCCCAAGTTGCCTATACTGTTCAAACAAGCCCCCAAACTGTCACTGCGTGCCATTCCCACGGCTTTAATTAGGTTCCTAATACCCCTCGGGCTGCTGGTTGCGCTCATGCTCCCCGCTCTCCCGCTGCTCACCCCCCGTCTGCCATAAGAATCGCCCCAGTTCCCGCTATAGCTCTTTGAGATCCCTCCCCCAGCCACTGCGCCCATCCCCCCACCGAAACCCCCGCCCACACGCGCGTTCGGCGCTCCTTCCGCGCGAATCTCCCCGCGCGGGCTCCATGCAGCTTCGCTGCTCGCCGCGCGCTCGATTCCCCGCAGCGGGAGCTTCCGCCAGCCCTCCGCGGATACCCCCGCCGCCGCCGCCGCCGCTGCTGCTGTCCCTGCTGCGCCAGCAGGCTTTCTCGGCGCGTGGGCCTCCCCGCATCGCGCCGGAAGCCCCGCAAAAGGGGGCGGTGAACCGGCGGAGTGGTTAAGGCCACGCGAGTGGTTGGCGGGAACGGGGAGCGGCGCGGAGCGAGGGATGCGGGAGGGCGGGCGCGCGGGATGGCGGCCGGGGTTAGGATAACCCGGCTGCGCATGCGCGGAGGAATGAGAAAGCGCATACGCTTGTGCTTGCGCGTGCGCGTGCGCAATCGGGTGCGCATGCGGATGTGGTTGAGGATGCGGAAAGGGTGCGCTGCGGGGGACCCGGGGTGCGAACCTAGTGCGAGGCGAGTGGGTATTTTTGGGGGTGAGGAGGAGCGAGTTGTTACTCGGACTGGGTTGAAATGTTACCAAATTGTTCGAAAGACGGTTTGACCCAGAAACGGTGCAGTTTGTACCGGGTACAACGGAAATGGCACTGTTCCGATTGGTTTGAGTGTCAGCTGGGACAACGAATTGCGATCTGCCTGCCTCACCACCACCACCACTGCTGCTCGCAAACCCCTGCAGATCACAGGCAGCAAGAGAAGCAGCAGAAGCAGCAGAAGCAGCTGGAGAAGCAGCACCACTGTCGGCATCATCAGCAGCAGCGGCACTGCCCCTCGCATGCGTCACGATCGCGTGCTTCGGAGAGTTAGTAGTCGCCCTCGTTACCAGCCGCAGCGGTTCCATCGACATCGCCCGCGGCAAAGCCGCAGACCGACCGCCGCTGCTCGCGTTGGCGAAAGCGAGAGCGGAAGCCGCCGTCGCCGCATGCTTGCTGTTACTAGTAGTACCGAGAAGGGTAGGAGAGGTATCACCAGCAGCACTGCTGAGAAGAGAACATGAAGATGCAGCGTCCTGCGCAATACCGATGGCTATGCTGCTGTGTGCTCGAGTCAGCCTGCCTCCTGCGCCAACGCCGCTTCCATTCCCACCCCCGCCGCCGCCGCTGCCGCCGCCGTTGCCGCTACGCCCAGTTCGAGTTGGTTGATAGGCAAGGCGCCCATCGCCCATCGATGCATGAATAGTCAGAGCATCGCCTGAGGCAGAATCACTACAAGTTGTACTAGTAATAGCAGCGGCGGTAGAAGCCGGGTCCATACTAATAGTACCCGCAGAGTCCATGGAACATGACAGCGCGTGGGGGGAGAAGCGCGAGTGTGTGCGCGCGTGCCCCGGCGCAGATGGTGCTCCGCGCGCCCCGCTTTCCGCCGCGGAGGGGGAAACCCCCGGGCGATGGGGAGAATGCCGCGGGGAACGCGGAGATAACGGCGAGAAAGTGCCCGGGGAAGCGCGGAGTAGTATACTATCGCGGGCGCGCGGCGAGGGGGCGGCGGGGCTGGGCTGGTGAGCGGGCGAGCTCGGATCAGCCGCGCTAGACGGCCGTAACTGACGCGCGCCAGCAGCTGCTCGTGCGACCGGCGATGGCGACGCCCCAGTGGCAGTGCCCGCGGGGATGGCGGCGGGAGTGGTGGCGCGGGTGGCCGGGGAGGTGGCAGGGGAGGTGGCAGCGGAAGAAGCAGAGAACGATGCCGCCGCCGCCACCGCCGCCGCCGCTGCCGCTGTCGTTGCCGTCGTGCTTTGAGACGGTGTCAGCCTCCTGCTGCCGCTACTTGCACTACCGCTACGGCCGCAGCTGCTGCCACCGCCGCCGCTACTGATGCTGCTGATGCTGATGGTACTACCGCGGCTGCTGGGACGAGACGGCGCACCATCCTCCTCTTTGTCGTCCCCCTCCTGCGAGCTTCTCTCCAGGGCCGACGTGGCCGACAACGACGACGACGACGACGAGCTTCCCTTGGAGAGGTTATCGCGACTGCTCCACTGACACGCCGCGGACGACGCGACGCTACCAGCACTAGTTGTAATTGCTGCCGCGCCCACGGCTCTCACGGTCAGCGGCTTCAGCGAAGCTCCGGCGTTGCGGCGAAGCAGCAGCAGCTGCGCTGGCTTCTGCTGCTGCTGCGGTTGCTGCTGCGGTTGCTGCTGCCGCTGTCGTAGCTCGCGCTTCAACCGCTCGAGCCGGCCCGGCTGGTGCCCAGGAGTGGTGGTCGCGAAGTCCTCGTCGCTGCAGGCCTTGTCAGCCTGAGGCTGATCCATGGAGGAACCCTCCATGCTGCAGTCACGACGAGTTAAGAGCGAGGAGTCGGAGTCCATGCGGGAGAGCCGCGGCGAGCTCGCGTGCGGAAGTCGGGAAAGCTGGTGCTGCTCCGCGCGATCGTGGCGATCTCGGTGCTGGTGATAACCTCGCTCTTGATTCCGCAGCTGCTCGGGTTGCTCGAAACTGTATGGGGTAGGATGCGCGTCCTCGCGACTCAAACCGGCTTGATGAGATGCAGCAGGGGCCATGGCTCCGGCGTACCCGTGCGCCCCACCATCAGTGTCGAGCAATTTTGCCAATAGCTTCCGAGGAGTGATTGCGTGCGGCGTCGACGGGGGACCTTCGATGCTCATCATCTTTCTAAGCGCTTTAATCGCGGTGCTGCATGAAGAGGTGTTTGAGTGACTGCGAACAGGACTCGTCAAAACCACACAGAAGTTAAGAACATACTCAGCGTTTCCTTCTGCTTTGGACGCGACCTTGAAGACATGCTTGGTTTCGAACAGATAGTTAACGCTCTCTGCGACGTGTTAGAGCCAGTGATACTCAACGTTATGGTGTACTTCCATCCCACGACAATCGCGTGCAAAAGATCATCGCCGTGAAAGCTATCTGGACGGAGCATGCCACACGGTACTAGTTTTGCGTGGAGCACGGGAAGAGTCGCTTGCACTTCAAATAGAGCAGGACGGGAAAGGAGGATTCGAATAATCGAACACTACAAAACTTGTCTGGATCTCTGTGTGCATGCGTGGGTGATTCAGTTCTTCTGCATGCAGGCGGCCTGCCGGGCGATGGTGGTACCGTATGGTCGCTTGTGCCATTGTTTTGTTTTTACAGGTGGGTGGGAACTTGGAGCGGGAATTGCGATCGGTTTTGGCCTCTCACAACACGAGGTCGTTTCAGTTTCTCCGATGTGTGCTGCTTCTCACCGAAATAAATGAAGGATTTTACTGAATGGGCGAGATGGATGGATGGTGGTGGGTAGGAGGAAGTATGATCGAACCGCGCTGATTTATCTTCCTAATGCGCTTCGATCTACTTTCGCCAGCCTCTGCGAAGGAAGCTGCCAAGCTGAAGATGTTTTCCTTCGACTGTGGGAACGATGAAGGGAAAGCTGCAACCGAAACGTCCTTTGTAAGTCCGATGTGGCAACAATCCATTTGCCGGAAAAGAAACCGTCGCCAACACGTAGATAATACGAAGGGCCTGATATGCGTATTCGCTATCTTCATCGAAGCGAAAGTTTTTAGCAAACTCAGGTTACCACGAAAAGTCGCGGATGCTAGAATCACCTGGAAAACTAAAAATGGCACCCGCGACAACGACCGATGTTAGATCTAGCTAGTAAGTCACGGATATGGGTGTTGTTTGATTAAGACAGTACCACCAAAATACATCAAAAACTTGAAATAAAAAATATCAATTGAATAAAATCCAGTTACATCTCGAAACATTAGGCAGCATGGCAAGACCGGCTCGCCTGGGCACTTGCTTGTGCTTCGCTCGAAATGGAGGGGGGGTCGAATACAAACACAGATAGCGGACGACGTGTAATGCTGCCTGAGCGCTGAAGAGCTTAGGATGGGAATACAACTGCCCATGGCGGCAGGGATTGCTGCTGCCTAACCCATATCAAGTACAAATGGGCACATGGCCCCCCGTACCCCAAGACCCGCTCCGACCCCTCCTTCCAACCGTGCATGGTTGGAAGGAAGAAGCGAAGCATGATGAAATCAATGAGTCTCATCTTACAACCACCACGACTCCCTTCTTGCCGCCTTTACCGCTTGTCCGCCTTCGTCGGGAGAGTATCCGTGGCGTGACCATCCAGGCCTTTTCCCTCATAAACTCCTTAATGTGCGCCACTCGCGCGATGACGTTTTTGAATTCGGTGTAGAACATCATGGAGAAGACAATGTACATCCACCACCACAACGACCGCTTCCGAATGCTCTTCGCGGAAACAAAGTACGCGGCGACGACTTGCGCGGGCCCGCACGAGAAGGTGAAGAGCGTCGTGGCAAGGTAGAACGAATCGAGCCAGTTGATCGAGCCGAAGCCGTCCATCTTGTACGCGAGGAACGCGAGCAGAGGGAGGATCTGCAACGAGACCCACGGGTACACCTCACGCCACACGAACAGGTGGAACATGCCGACCTTCTGCCACAGCGACAGGTTTCGCGAGGTCATCACGGCCGTAAAGTGCCTGAGCGACACTTGGAACCATCCCTGCGCCCATCGCAGCCTTTGATTCCATATTTGACGAAGCGTGGTGGTGGCGAGTTCAGACGACATGAGACCGGGGTCGGACTTGATTTTCCCTCCGGCGAGCAGCACGCGGATGGACGAGTCGATATCTTCCGTAAGCATGGCGGCATCCATGCCGATTTGCGCGAGAAGGCCCGACTTCCAGAAGCCGTTAGAGCCGCCGAAGAAACCGAAGTTG